ACGCTTCTCATTTTAGTATTTTTGATTCTGAAAATATGTATGCATACCACTTGGAAAACAGAATAAAGCCTCAGAGAAGTTATGCATGGTAATCACTACACTCTTTTAAACCTGTTTTCAGTTCTTGGAGCTTGGTTAATGGGACTCCTTGTGGTTTCACTGAGAGCAGTCTGGAAGGTGTATAAATCAGGGCAGTTTGGGAGGTGGTGGTGTGTTAGCTTTCCCTTCACTGCCGGGACAAAATACTTCACACCCAGTTTTGACAGAGAGATTCTTTTTTTTTTTTTTAACCAGGGATTGAACTCACAACTCACACTTGCAAGGCAGGTGCTTATGCCACTGAGCTAAATCCCCAGCCCCTACACCCAGTTTAGAAGAGAAAGGATTTATTCTTGGCTCACAGTTTCAGACGGCTCAGTCCATGGTCCACTGGGTCCGAGCATCAGGGCAGGACAGCACAGGAGAGGAAAGCTGCTCGTGCATGGCAGTCAGGAGAGCAGGAGGGAAAGGCCCCACGGTGGGTCCGCAGGCTCCAAGGCCACGTTCTCATGGCTCACCCTTACATGCCCAGAAATGTGCTCACAAGCCAATCAGACTGTCATCCACGGCACCTATCACAAGTGTGTACACGAAAGCCTTAAAATAAACATATCTTCTGACTCATATTTGATTTAGGGGACGATCCTAAGCACACTATATTTTTATGTATTTTATTTTTTAAATTTGTGGTCGGATTTTTGTTTTGTTTATTTGTTTTTGTTTTTGTTTTGAGACATGGTCTCCCTGTCCAGTTCAAGCCGGCCTTGTACTTGTTTGTGTAGCCCAGCCTGGCCTCGATCTCCTGACGCTGCTCCTGCCTCAACCTCGCAAGTGCTGGGACTACGACTGGCTGGGTTCTTGAAAAAAACATTTCAACTTTTTAAAAAGATGATTAAGGAAGTGTTTAGGGAAGTGACTGATAGGCTACTGAGTGAAGAAGAACTGGCTTAAAATGTTAGCTCTCCTACTTCCTGACTTGTTAGATGTACAGGCCCAGCCAACTACCAGTGTCCTTGACACAGACACGGACATGTAAACGAGGAATAAAGATACACAGAACACACACAAGCAGTGGGACCTGGAGTAGTTACCTACCCCGCTGAGTTTCACTGTTTACTGAGTAATCCATGTAAAACATCTGGAACAGTGGATCGCACACAGTAGATTCTCAGTTAAAGGTGACTGTTTATTAAGGAAACACACATGCAATGGAATGTAAGTACATGCAAGAGGCTTATAAATAGGCGTGGGAAGGGCTGGAGTTGTAGCCCAGTGATAGAGCACATTTCTAGTATGTTTGGGGATTTGATCCCCAGTGAGAGAGAGAGAGAAAGAGAGAGAGAGAGAGAGAGAGAGAGGAGAAAGAAGAGGAAGAAGGAGGAGGAGAAGAAGAAATCCATGAAAATGCTTATTTACAAAACAAATAATAATTCTTCAGTATGACCTCAGCTAGGGGTTCAAACAGAGAGAAGAAAATTGAGATACATTCATTCTAAAAAGCAGAGTATGCTGAAACACCTTCACTGTGAGCTGAGATTCCAGGCCATTTGCCTTTTCTTCCTGCCATTCTCTAAAGAATCTGTCTGATCTCCAAAAGCCCTAACCTTGCCTCCAAGGCTCCCGAGAGCTCTGCCTGCTCTGGACAGAGCTGCCTTTGATCAGAACCCGGGCAAGACATCTAACTGGCCACGGCCCAGCCTTGTCTGACTCCCAGTGGCAAGGGCAAGGCCAGCTCTGAACAAGTGAGATGCTCTGCAGGGACTGGTGTCGTAGGCTGGGTCCACAGCACAGACAGGCCTGAGGCAGGGATTCGAGTACAAGGGATTTACTGTGGGAGGAACCTGCACAAGAGTGAAAAAAGGAAGAAAGATAAAGGGTAAAATTCTGCGAGGATATGGTTTCAGGCAAAGTCTGGTCTCGCTCTGATCATACTGGAGCTCAAGACGGGGACTGAGGAAGTGATTTGCCCTGGTTAGCTGGAAATTAGCCACTGCTCCTCCCAGCTTTGCAGCCTAGTTTGCAATGCATTATTCAGCCGGGTTCTATCCTTGCTTTGACTGACAAACTGCAGGTAATAACACCTGCCTCTCCTGTGTCCAACATGCCTGGGTTAACCCGAGTAATCCCTATACCATTTCTTGTCACCCCGTGTCCTGTGTATTCCAGAAGCTTGTGTCCTCTTGGGACAAATGTAAAGCAAAATGCAAACCCAGGAAAGGAGATCCTCATAATAAGTTGCTTCAAATCTGGCCAAACGTACGTGATTTGCTCTATTTGAAGTCAATGCTTTCAATTCCATCTTACGGTGTATATGAGAACAATTTCCTGTTAATCGGCATGGCTATTTCAGTTCTTGGTTTTAGTACAAATAACCAGGGACACAGTCTTCAACTGAATGCACTCAAGAGATAAATTGTTGCACCATCCTAGAATTGTTCACTGTGCCACAGTGCTTGTCCCACCCTGAGACGACGGAGTGGGCCTGCCATGGGGAGAAGGGATCACTCCCAGGTACCTCGTGGTGAGGCAGTTCTGGGTGCCAGAGCATCATCCTCCAAGTGGGTTGTAGGAATAAGTGATGCCAGCAGCTGTGGCAGGTCTATGCTGACCCAGGAGGTGTCTCGGAGGCCTAAATGGGACCCCAGTACCAGCTGTCTCAAAAAAGGAAATTAGTCCCCCTTTGCTCAGGTAATGTCCCTAGTGCATGCACACTCACGTGTGCACACACACACACTTTTAAGTTTTGTTTTGAAACTGGCTCTAAAATGCTAAATTGTCCAGGATGAGCAAAAACTTTTGATCTTCCTGCCTCAGCCTCCCAGAATGCTGAGATTACAGGCATATATCACCTTGCCAGGCTCTCCAGCAAGCTCAAAGGCCGAGGAAGTGAAGGGGTGGGGATGGAGGGTGGCAGGTGGCCTGTGCATCTGGAGCTTTGATTATATTGAGCAAATTAGTAATCACATTGCAGACAGCGAGACCTGGTTTTCTCATCATGGACAGAAATTACAAACACGGAAACTGGGAAGGTTAGAAACAACTCTAAGAATACAAAGTATTGTGCTGGATGTGATGCTGCATGCCTGTAATTTTAGCAACTGGGAGGCTGAGGCAGGAAGATCGCCATAAGTGCAAGGCCAGCCTGAGTTACAAAGTGAGTTCACAACTAGCCTGAACTGCATAGTGAAACACTGTCTCAAAAAAAAAAAAAAAAAAAAGACATTAAAGTGTCAGTGTTGATTCATGTTTTTAAAATCAATGTACACAAGGGGGCTGGGGATTTAGCTCAGCGGCATAAGCACCTGCCTTGCAAGCAGGCGGTCGTGAGTTGGATCCCCAGTACCGATAAAAAAATCAATATACACAAAGAGATATTGCAATAGATAGAGATAATATGACATATACGAGGAGGGAGAGAAACCAGGGGTTGTAGTGCATGTCTGTATTCCCAGCACTCTGGGAGGATGAGACCAGAGGATTGCAAGTCTGACCACAGTGTGCTAAGCAATTTAGCAACATAGTGAAGCCCCGTCTGCAAAAAAGAAAAAAAATAGAGAGAGGGTAGATAGACAGATGACAGATAAGCTATAGCTAGGTGGCAGGTAGACAAACAGGTGACAGACAAATAACTGTGTCACCGGATGCTGGATGGACACTGAGCTCTCTCCCAGCTGTGTCCACCGAGAGCATCAAGAGGTCTTGACGCTCCTGGAGCACGTGGAACATGGATTGTGGTTTCTGAGCACCGCGCTCCACCGGAGGGAAGGAAAAGTGACCGACTCCAAGTGATGTGACGGTGGCACATCAGCAAGGCAACAGGAGTCACCGACCAGACTGGGGACAGTCTGAGGCTCCAAACCCTAATGGGTACACCTCACTGCATAAAGGAGGAATCTACAAATCCATACTGAGCAAATGAACCCATAAATGGACAAAAGGGAGGAGGAAAACCTCTTCCTTACCATAGAATGTTAAGTAATAAACATAAAAGAAATGATAGAAGTTGACGGATTGATTTTTTGTAGTGTACAGTTCAGGCTGGCCTTGAACTTACTCTATAGCCCAGGAGACCCTCAAACTCATAGAGATCCTTCTGCCTCAGCCTCCTGAGTGCTGGGATTACAGGCATGCGCCCACTTTTTTTTTCAGTGCTGTGGTCTAGGATTAAGTTCAGGTCCTTGTATTTGCTAGGCAAGTACTCTGACACTGAGCTACATTCAGAAAATTTTAAATACTGCTTATTACCGTCATAGTGGCAGTTGATTTGGGCAGAAATAGCCAAGGCTAAAGCTAGGTAGCAGTTCCACAGGGTGGCAGTTCTGTAGGGAACAGGATATTGGCATTTTCTCTAAATTGTTCCTCACAAAGTACCTGTGAAACACAAGTGGGAAAAATCATACTGTAGGGTGGAGGAATGTGTCAGACACCAACTTGAAGTGATGAAGATGCACGTCCCTAAGAGGAGGACAGGATGACATCACCTGCCTCTGATGTTTGCTCTCGGAAGACCTGAGCATCATCTCTCTGTGATGTTCCTGCCAAGACAACACGGCCAAATGTCAAAGGACCCAGGACAAGAGCATCCGGCAGAAAAAGAGGCCGGTGCTCTGCAAGCCTATTTAAGAACACGAGGGCAAGGGAACGTTGTAGATGGGAGCTGCCCATAATGCCAGGACTCTGTTTCCTCCTAACTCACTGGCTGGAGATAGAGCTCAATCAAAGCAGTTATGAAATCTGAGAATACTTGGGGAGTCAGTTAACAATGCAGGTGTCAGGACCCCAACCCTGTGAGTCTGTTTCTAAAGAGCAAGGATTAGTGTCTTTAGCCACCATCCCAGGAAATTCCAGTGCAGGTAATCCAGCAGTCACTCTGGGAGGAATGTTGTCTTAGAAATTCAGGAACCTGTAGCATCTTCCCACCGGTCCTGACCCTCACCCCATCTGTCTTTTTGTCTACCCAGGGTGACGCTGTATGCCGAGTTTCTTCCCATGAAAGCCAGAGCCAAGTGTATTTTGCTGATTGAGGTACGGAGGGGGGCGGCTGGTGGTCTCTGGAGAATGCTGACGCTCTGCAGACCCCAGATGTCCTGAGCTACTGGACAGGGAAAAGGGAGTTGAAGAGGAAAAATAACAGATTCAGTTCACAAAGACTTAAATGGATCAGTTATGTAAATCCAGACCTGGCTGTTTTGCAATATGGAAAAATTCTTAAACTGACAAGAAAATCCGACCAGTCATCCCTTTTAAAACATGGTAGCAGGCAGATAGAAATGACTTTTAGCTAAGAGTTGGTGTTGATTGATGCAGCTTGGATGGATCCAACTCCTACCCCCTACAAATACGATAACCCTCTATTTCTGTTTTTACCCAATGGCCCAGATCTTGTGAGCAATCCCCTCTTTTGCTCACTTCCATACCCTGCGGGCTGCCTTAAAGCCCTTGTAGTCCAGCCACTCCCTCTGAACCCTCCTTCTGATAGGGACTTGTGGCCCATGTTCCAGCCATAATCTGAGAGATCATGAGGCAAATACATTGCTGCCACATAGACCTCCCTGCAGCTACCCAATGGGCTCTCCAGGAAGCTGCCCACTGGATCCCCTCCTTGCAGGGACAGAATGGTTTGTTTGCCTCTGCTGGCCACTGATGCCCACAGTATTGACTATGCCGTCATTAGACCGCCTTAGTGTCACTGTGACTGCATGGAAAACATTGATCACATTGATTCCCAACCCAACCCAACCATCCTGACAGCGTCCACTTCTGTCCAGTTAGGGTGACAGTCAGCCTGTCTGCACTTTTGTGCCAGAGTCAGCTGCTTTAAATATTAAAGTGCATCTGGGCCAGCTGATCCTCAGCCCTGACTGTGCTTTGTCATCTAACACCCTCTTGTCTCCTAGGACCCCTCAGAGATTCCCATGATCCAGCGATTAAAGAGTTCATTCCTGGTCCAGTTTGGGCACATAACTAAAGACTAATAGCTAATGACATTTTGATTGTCAGCAACAGAAACAGAGTGTGGATCCTTTTAAACAAAGGGGATTTAGGAAGTTTTTAAGACTCCAGAATTTATGGTAGGGACTGGTTTGAAATGGACAATTGTTGTAGAATGAGGGTCCAGCCAGAAACAGCATACTCAGATTAGGACCATTTGAGGAGGGCTCAACAAGGCACTATTTTTACAGACTCTGCAGGGGTTTCCTTTCCAGGCCTGAAGGGGCGAAGGGATTGAATAATCAGCAGCCCAAAGAGTTGTATGATGAAGGCTTCTGGAGAGGAGATGTGACCCATGAGCTCCCTGTGGGTGACAGCCAGGGGAATAAATGCCCCAAATGTCTCCCCTTTCTCTACCTCTCATCTCCTGCTGGGCTCCCTGTTGGCTGCACCCAGTGAGAAGCCAGAGTACAGGGAGCTCATGGGATCCATGCAAAGTTCTGGATGGATAGGATCCAAAAAAGGCAGAGGACTGCAAGTTTGAGTCTCCCTGGGCAACCTAAGGACTTACCAAGACCTTCTCTCAAAAAAATAAAAAGTAAAGAGATGTAGTACAGTGCAAAGGCCCTGGGTTCAATCCCTAGTACTACAAAAGAAATTATACAGTGTGGACAGGCCTCTAGGACACCCGTATATGTGACACTGTGCAGATGGTCTCTCAAACACCATGCAGGTATATAATGCGCACTATCCTTCAGGAGGGGCCTCCTGCAGCCCAGCTATGTGGACCATGGGAAAAGGGTGGCTCTTATGACCTTCCTGACCCCTTCCCCCCACTGAGACTCTTGTCCTCAATAACCCTGTGATCGCTCACGGTGTGGACCGCCCTACTCCACCTCTGACCCTGATTCTCCCGTGCCAGGTCTTCTGGGCCATCGGGACAGTGTTCGAGGTCATCCTGGCCGTGTTCGTGATGCCCAGCCTGGGCTGGCGCTGGCTGCTCATCCTCTCGGCTGTCCCGCTCCTCCTCTTTGCTGTCCTGTGTTTCGTAGGTATCTTTTAAGGGACCTCCTTGCCTGCCTGGCACTTCCCTCTCCTCTGCGTTTTGATGGTTAGAAATTATTGTAATCTCTACACAGCCTTTTGAGTTGTGTTTTTGTTTGTTTGTTTTTAAATCAGCAAACAAGGCAAGGGAATGGGGACCATGTAGTGCTAATGTAAGATGTTAGCATCCCTGTGGACAGGTATTTCTGGGGTGTTCTCTAAAGACAGGGGCCAGAATGGGGGATACACTGGCCCAGCACTGAAAAATCTACACTTTAAGTGAATTATTGAGTTCACTGTGACTCATAAGTTACAAGTGACAGACCTAACTCAAAGGGGCTTAAGTGAAACAGAGGGATAGATACATGACAGAGGATTAAATAGTGTCCAGGAGTTCCAAAGATCTCTCCATCTCCGCTCTACATCAACCATACCCACCATTGAGATCATTCCACATGTGCATCATTTCATGTGCAGGACACTTACATGAAACATTCTCCAGCCAGTGGGGCCTCTGATTCAGCCTGGAAATGGATAGTTCCATGTATGGTAAATACTACATTTCCCGACGGCCACAACAAGAATTAATCATTACTGAGCTTAACTGTGTGACAGTCTCTGTGAGAGGCTCTTCACACACGTGATTATGTTTATTCCTCCCAATAACCATAAGGTGTAGGACTCTGGTGAACCCCTGTATTACTTAGGATAATATCAGTTCCTATAACAAAACGAAGCCCACAAACTCAGTAGCTTAATACAACAGGAGTCTGTTTCTCACTGTAGTAGTTGAGAGTGAGAATTCTGATTGACGAGTGAGATTCTGAGCCCAGGTTTTCTTTCCAGCTTGTGGCTTTGCCATTCTCCAGGGCTTTGGAATCTTTCACATGCAGCTAACAGGGATGGGAAATAAGGACTGCACCATCCATTTCTTAAATATGTTTGCCAAAGATAGTCTGATATCATCCTATTGGTGAGAGCAAGTCACATGGTGTCACTTAACTGCAAGGGAAGCTGGGAAATGTAGTGCATTGCTTGGCAGCCATGTTCAAGGACAGCTCTATACTATGGTAAGGAAAGCTTGAACTTTGGAGGACATTAGCAATCTTTGCTACATCCCTCTTTCACTGATGAAGAAACTGAGGCCAAAAGGGGCTGCTTGACTGATCCAAGGGAACACACCAAATAAACACCAGAACTCTAAATTGAACCAGATCTTCCCACTCCCAGTCTCATTACATCTGCTGTTTCGTAGATCACTGTTGCTTCCTTTTACAGAAATGTATGTATCTCATCACCTGGAGGTGGGACTCCATCAGGCTTAAACTTTCTGACTTCTTTCTCTCAGACTGAGTTTGCCAGACAGTACTGAATACAGGTGAGGCAGAGTTTCTAGAAAGCTGGGGGCGACATTTTTAATGGTTGTCACAGTTTAATTCAGCCCTTCCTGGAACTCTGAAAGCAGCACCAAATAATAGAAGCAGACGACAATAAAGAATTGGCTCCTACCAGGCACTGTGCAAAGCACTCTGCCTGATTTATCCCACTTAATGCTCTCAGCACCCTAAGAGGTAGGCTGTACCATTACCCCTGTATCCTGGGTTAGGAAACGGAGGAACAGAGAGGCCTGTGCTTTGCACAGGGTGACACAACCATGTAACAGATGGCAAAGCCAGGATGTGAAGCCAGCTTGCTGGTTCCAGAGCCCCTACCTTTAAAGACCCCACACAGAAATGGGAGTGTATGACTGGGGCTGAATGGTCTGTTCCATGCTAACCAACCACGCCTGGCTCTCCTGTGCCCCCAGTGGTTGCCAGAGAGTGCAAGGTACGATGTGCTGTCCGGGAACCAAGAAAAGGCGATTGCCACCTTAAAGAGGATAGCGACAGAAAATGGAGCCCCCATGCCACTCGGGAAGCTCATCATCTCCAGACAGGTCAGTGCCTGCACCTGCTGCCCGGCGTGTGTGTCTGTGTACATGCAGGGGACCGTGTGCGCTTGGCATGAGAACATGCATGAGTGAGCATGTGTCCCCAGGGTGGGAGTTGAATGCACACACATGCACTTGTACACACATGGTGTGCGTGGGGTGTAATGGCCACTTAGATTCAAAGGTTCAGGTTCCTTTGCTCACCACTGGCCAAATCAAGGGAATCCACTTATCTTGATCAACAAGAAAAAAGACTTATTCAAATGTAGCTCAGAGGAGATGGAAGGGCCCATTTGCCAAATATCTCACTGTGGCCAGCGTGTTGGGTCTTTTATAGCAAAGAACAGGACAGAATACAGTGAGAAAACACACAAGTTCAGGCTTTTCCTGGACACCCTGCCTCTCTGTCCCTTGCCTAAGGAAATGACACTGGATTTGACCTCCTGATGCCAGCACCCAAATATTCTGTCCATTCCTCTGGGCTGAGGAGAGGCAGGGGTGGTACTTTATGCTCTAGGCTTGAAAAAGTTTAAGGAAGCCATTTGGCTCCAAAGGGGAAAAAAAAGTCCCACTTGCCCATGCTGGTTGCAGAAATGAGGTAGGCAGGACCTGCGAGGAGAATTTGGCAGCTCCATTCCGTATTTCCACTGCCAAGCTCTAAAAGTTAGCTGGAGAACTTAGCCAGCCAGCAGAGGAACGTTATGTTTGCGGATCGCTCCTGGAATGGCTTCTTCTGTTTGGTTTTGTCTTTCGGCACTGATGAATTCTGATTAGCAGCTGTGATTGGTGGGCAAGAGCTGTCCATAAGGAGTATATTAAAGGGCGAAGTGCCTCCGTGGTAGGATGAGTGCTTAGCCTTTGCAAAGGCCCGGGTCTGATACCTAGCATAAATAAATGAATGAATAATAGGGGAGATGAGGCTGACACCTGTGCGCCTAGGGTCAAATTACCCTTTGCAGGCGTCCTTGCCAGGTGCTGCGATACTTCCCTGGTAAGACCATCAGGAAACTCGCCACGAGCATCTGTCAGCACTGACACTGCCCACAAAGGAAGAAAGAACACAGATGTAAGGCTGCAGCCTCTGCCCTTAAGAACCACCTAACCTGCCAGGTGGGGTTGGGCACACCTGTCATTCCATCACTGTGGGAGGCTGAGGCAGGAGGACTCCCAAGTCCAAGTCCAACCAGGGCAACTAAGCAAGACCTTATTTCAAACTTAAAAATAAAAAAGGGCTGAGAGTGCTGCTCACTGTGAAGGCTCAGAGTTTAATTCCTAGTACTACAAAAAATGAAAATAAAAAAGAATCATCAAGGCAGATGGGAGAAATGTGGCAAACATCCAAACAGACAGCTTCTAAATTAAATTTTAGTTGTTTCTGTATTATGTCAGAATAACTGAATGGAATTTCATCAGCCTGGGAGAAGGTGTTTGGCATGGTCCCACAACACAGAGGACACGAGACCTACCGCAGATCTACTTTAGAAGCTACAGGGGTGGGACGGGGGATATCCCATCCCTGCACGAAGACGCTTGTGTGGAGAAAGCACGTGATGATGTGGGTCCCAAGGTGAAAATTCTAGGGATGGATGCTCCCCCATTGTGGGTGGCACTGCGTGTCCTGGACTCTGTGTGTTCTGGGGCACCTCACATCAGGGTTCCACGTATGTGACAGGGATCATGATTCCGTGGTGGCAGCAGGAAATTGGAAGGGACAAAACACACTGGCACGGCAGCCAGGACCAGCCAGGCCCACGGCAACAAAGCTCACTCCACCTCTGGCTGTCCACGCAGCCTCCCAGGAGGGGGACAAACCAGAAAGGATGGCTCTCTAGACAGATGCCAATTCTCCAAAAGCCAGTTCTCCCCAATAAACTTGCTAAATGTGTAAACTGGGTGTGGTGGTGCATGCCTGTAATCTCAGCACTTGGAAGGCTGAGGCAGGAGGATCACTGCAAATTTGAGATCAGCCTGGGTTTTGAAATGAGCTCAAGGACAGCCTGAACTGCATAGTAAGTGTCTCAAAAAGACAAAATAAATAAGTTAATTAAACTATAAACTCATGGGGGAGCTAATCCCCTGATGAGTATCACGCACCTGTAATGCACTCACTTGCCAAAGCCCCTGAGCGCTCTGGGGGCTCTGGGGGCTCATTCATAGCAGGGATCAAAAGATGGTTGGAGTAGGGGAATGAAAGAAAAAGAGATTGAAAAAAGGGATTAAAATATATTACATATATGTAATAATTCTCCACAAGAATGTAAACATGTACTACAAACCTATACTAATAAAAATAATTTTAAAATAATATGTTACACAGATGCTATTATTCATGAAATTAATATCATAAACAAACAAAGACCCATGTAGCCTGGATTTTTTCTCTTTAGACATGATCTTCCTAAGTAGCCCAGGCTGGTTTTAAGTTCACTTTGTAGCCCAGGCTGGCATTGAACTCATGGCAATTGTCCTGTCTCAGCCGCTTGAGTACCGGGATTACAGGTGAGCCACCACGCCTGTATAGCTGTATAAACAACCTGTAACCTTTCTCACACCCTTAGGATTTTTTTTCTTATTGTGCACCAGCTACTATGTTAAGTGTTTTATTTTATTTTTAAAATCCATTTTATTTCAAAGGAAAAAAAGAAAAGTAAAACAAAATTTCAAAACACATCAATAGGGGTGGCAATAATAGTACATACATTGCATCATCCCCAAATCATTCACCCGGAGCACAAGACATCTGCATTCAGTTGTCTGAACAGTATCAGCACAAATCTTGCTCCTCAGTGAACTCAGAGAAATCAGTAGTATAACTATCTTAATTATCTTTTTAATATACACATATGTATATGTATACATATGTGTTTCTTATACATATGTTGTTTCTTTCAGCTTCTCACACTACTGTGAGACAATACAATGCTTTAAAATGTGTGTCTATTTCTTTCCCTTGAGTTTATCCTTTATAGCTGAGTAGTATTCCATTGCATAAAATACCATTTTTAAAATTCATTCATCAGTTGATGGGTATTTGGGTTGTTTCCAAGATTTAGCTACTACAAAATGTACTGCTATAAACATAGGTGCACATGTATTGCTGTGGTATGATGTTTTTAATTCTTCTAGGAAAATACCCAGAAGGGGAACAACTGAATCAAATAGGACATCTAGTCCTAGTTTTCCGAGGAATCTCCACACTGATTTCCACAGTGGTTGCACCAGTCTGCACTCCCACCAATAGTGGAGAAGGGTTCCTCTTCCCCACAGCCCCTCCAGTGTTTGTTATTGGTTGATTGCTTGAAAATAGCCATTCTTCCCAGGGGAAGGGGGGATGGAATCTCAGCATTGTTTTCATTTGCATCTCTCAAATGACCAGTGATGTTGAACATTTTTTCACATATTTATTTGCTGTTTGTATTTCTTCATCTGAGAAATACGTATTATCTCAGATACCCATTTTTGGACTGGGTCTTTAAATCTGGGAGGACTGATTTTTTTGAGTTCTTTGTATGTTCTCAGTAGTAATCCTTTGTCCAAGGTACAGCTGGAAAACATTTTTTCCCACATTGTGGGCTGTCTCTTCACTGTTGCTGGTTTCCCTTGCTGTGCAAAAGCTTTTCAATAGGGTGAGATCCCAGTTGTTGATTCTTTGTGACAGTTCCTGTGCAACTAGAGTTTTGTTCATAAAGTCTTTGCCTACACCAGTGTCATCAAGAGTTTGACCCACTCTGTCTTCCAGCAGATTTATTGTTTCTGTTTTAATATTAAGATCTTTGATCCATTCTGATTTAGATTAGTACATGGTGAAAGATATGGGTCTAGTTTTAATCTTCAGCACGTGCATAGCCAGCTTCTCCAGCACCAGTTATTAAAGAGGCTGTCTTTCTTCCAGTGAATGTGTTTCTTTGTCAAAGATAAGGTGGCTTAGTGTGCCTGGCGCTGTTTCTGCATCTTCTAATCTGTTCCATCGATCTTTAGGTCTGTTTTGAAATCCCATCCCCCCCGTCCCCCAGTATGACACTGTTTTTATCACAGTAGCTTTATTGTATAATTTCAAGTCAGGGATTGTGATGTACCCTCTCTCTGTCTTTGTTGCCCAGGATTTCCTTTGCCATTCTAGGTCTCTTCTGGTTCCAGATGAATTTTAAGATTGTTTTCTCTAATTCTGTGAGATATGCTATTGGAATTTTGATTGGGATTGCCCTGAATCTGTATAACAGTTTTGGAAGCATGGCCATTTTCATTATATTAGTTCTTCCTACCCCAGAGCACAGGATATCTCTCCATTTTCTAATATTCTTTTCAATCTCCTTTTTCAGAGCACTGTGGCTTTCAATGTAGAGGTCTTTTACATCCTTCATTAGAATGATTCCTAGGTATTTTTTAAAAATTCTTAGCATTTTGATAGCAAACCTTTCTCAAACCACAGCTAGGAAAAATATGTCCATTATACATAAAATATATCTATAGTTGTAGAATATACTTTAAGAAGAACATCATAAAGCAAACATTTGCTATTCTTTTCTTAGATTTGATAATTTTTTAATAAATGCTAAATTACATAAAATTGGCAAAAAACTATTTAGCTAAATCAATCACATTGGCCTGTAGTGAGCTGGCTTTTTCGTACATTAATTGTTGTTACTTTGACCTGGCTTGAGGGAGTCTGTGTGTGCACGTGCATGCGTGCGCATGTGTGTGTGTGTTTGTGTGTGTGTGTGTGTGTGTGTGTGTGTGTGTGTGTAGAGGTTGTGCACTGCTGATGCTGGTTTCCCTGGGTCCCTGGGTTCCAGGCAGCCTCGAGGGGCCAGGCCTGAGGGCTCTGCCTCCCAGCTCTCAGGTTCCAAGTCTCCATGCTGTGGACCTTCGGTGCTCCTGGCTCCTCAGAGCCCCAGGGAAGTAGGTACCAATCTCGGGCCACCAGCCTGTGTCCCACAGGTCTGGACAGAAGAGAATAACTGGCCTGTTCTTGTCTTGATGCAGGAAGACCGAGGCAAAATGCGGGACCTTTTCACACCCCATTTCAGATGGACAACGCTGCTGCTGTGGTTTATATGGTAAGAGGAGGGTGTCATAATTTTCACCCATTTTATGTGGCCTTTGGTTTTGAAGCAATGCCCAGAAAACTTTTTGATCTAAGGCATCATTTATAAATTTTGGTAGTTCGAGCCTTACCATCCTGATTTCTGCTTTCTCCAGGTTATTACTTGTGCTGTTATCAGCTAGCTACTCATTAATTTGTTTTTGCTTTTGTTTTTCTATTTTTGAGGCAGGCTGTCTTTGACTTCAACCCACAATTGTAGCCCAGGCTGGCCTTGAACTCGAGGCAATCCTCCTGCCTCAGCCTCCTGAATGCTGAGATTACAGGCATGCACCCCGGTGCCCAGCTTCATTTCCATGCACTTTTTACTCAAATAAATTCTTTTGTTGTTGTTGTTGTTGAGGTTGTTGTTGGCTTTTTGAGATAGAGTCTTGATACATAATTCAAACTGGCCTTGAACTCACTATATAATCCAGGCTGTCCTTGAATTTTTTTGCCGATCCTCCTACCTCAGTCACCTGAGTGCTGGAATTACAGGTGTGCACCGCCATGCCCAGCTCCAGAGATATATCTTTCAAAAGGAAATGTTGGCTGAATGAGGTGATACATACCCATAATCCCAGCATCTAGGAGGCCAAGGCAAGAGGATCTCAAATTTGAGACCACCCAGAATACATAGCAAGAAATTTTGAAATACAAAAATATAGTTGAGTGTGGTGGTGTATGCATGTAACACCAGCATTTGAGAGGCTGAAGCAGAAAGATTGCCATGAGTTCAAAGCCAGTGTGGGCTCCATAGTAAGTTCAAGGCCAGCCTGAATTACATAGCAAGACCATGACTTAAAAACAAACAAACATACATACATGGAAATTCTATATCTCCTCTCTAAAAGAAAACACGTTGATTATAGGCTAGAGATAGAAATTGTTCTTGTAAATAGAATAAAAGATAATTATAAGGATGGGTGGTTTTCCAAAGCAATGAGCCTGTGTTTAAGAGACAGACTTGCAGGATGGGGAGGTATTCAGGATTCCATAGCACTCAAATGAAACAAAGTTATAATCAAAAGAACTTAAAAGAAACCTAAAAGGAAATTTTTTAATAACAAGAGTTAATATTTATGTTGTATGAGTACCTTCCTCTCTTCCCACATGGCTTTGGGTACCTTACGTGGCACATGGCCTGTAGTCTGAGAACCAGGATCTAGTCAGTGTGGCTGTTCTTGAAACTTCTGGTTCTGACTCTGTTTAGTTTTTCTTAAACAACAGCCACAGGAGGGAACTGATGGGGAAAGCAATTATCTTAAGCTTCAGAGCAAATCAAGTTTCACCCATTCTTTCAATTCACTTTCTGCCAAATCATCTATGTTAGCAGTAACGCTGTGCAAAATTGGCTTGGGCTTAAAGCTTTGTATTCCTTTTTTTAACCAGTTCTCAGTTTTCCTATTCACCTTTGAGCAGAGGTGCTAATTAGCAGGGGAGTCTCCCCAAGTGGTTGATTACTGGGAAGAGTGGAAAACCTTTGATAATATATAGAACTGAGCTCCCGCATTCCCAAGAGCTGAATCACTCACCAAGCATTTATTAAACACCTGCTGTGGCCTAGTACAAATGTGGAGTCTGCAGGATTCTTAAGGAGGGGGTTGGTCGGCGCTGAGAGCACCTAGCTTCCAGCTGTATGTAACTCACTCCGCCCACACTCTACAAATCCTGAAGCAGTGAATGAGAGACTAATATTAGTGCACTATCAAAGTCACTGAATTTGCTAGCATAAACTGGGCATGGTGACACACTCCTGTAATGCTAGCACTCCAGGAGGCAGGAGCAGGAAGCTCGAAAGTTCAAACCCAGCCTAAGCAATTTAATGACTTAGGGAGATCTTGCCTCTAAAAGGGGGAAGTACACTAGCTATGTTGGCACATGCCTGTAATCCCAGCCCCTGGGGGAATCCCAAATTTGAGACCAGCCTGGGTTACACAGTGAGTTCAAGGCCAGCCTGAACTACATAGTGAGACCCTGTCTCACAAAAAAGAAAGAAAAAAATTTTTTTAAGTGGGGGCGCATGCTGTAGATATAGCTCAGTGCAAAGGCATCTCAGTTCAATTTCCAGTACCACAAAACGTACATAGAATAAAAATTTGAGTCAGGGATGTAGCTCAGCAGCACAGTGCCAACCTGGCAAGTGTGAGGTCCTGAGTTTAATTCTGATACCAAAGACAAAAAGAAATTTAAAAATTTGCTAGCTAAAGCTGTAACCCAGTGAAACTAAAATTTGGCTTTTGATTATAACTGTTCTACTGGATGCAAATGTTCTGGTCTTCTGAATTTGAATATCCTATTTTGGGGATCAGGCAGAAATTAATAATCATCTGGCCATTGATGGGGCCCAAAGAGGAGAAAAGAACCTCAATGGAGTGTAGGTGTGTTCTTGATGAGTTGTTGCAGAAAAGCACTTTAGGAGGTAACACTGAGACTCACAGGCTAATTTATTAGGCAGAGTCAGTAAGGGAAGACAGGTTAGGGACTTACTTCCATGTGAGTAAGGAGGGGCAGAGCTGCACCGAGAGGATCAGACTGGCCCACTAACAAAGGCCAGGTTTAGAGGGCTCTGTGGATGAGGGCCTGGTTGACCCTTATCTCAGAGCACTGGAGGAGCCTCATTTGTTAACCCAGTCCCCAGGACACAGCTGCCTCTGCTCGGGATGGTCCCACTTCTGTGGGGGCTCTGCTGGGATCCAAGGCGGCTGCAGGTTTAGAGCAAAGACTGGAGATTAAGAGACAGATCCAAAGTGAAAATCAAGTTTAGTTCTTTTTCTTACCCACTGAGTGTCTGTAGGTCCACATGAAGAATCGCTGAGGTTTGTTTCAAATTTATTTATTTTAGCAATAGTGACTTTCAAGTCCCTGCCTGCACCAAGAGAAAACATCAATCAAGTTTGTAACATATAACAGAGTAAGGGCTCAGGAGTTTGTCCTCTGTTTCTATGGTGATTTCTGTGTCAATTCACCTCTGAAATTCTAAAATCTTATTCATATTTACCAAATTGGACAAGCCCTGATAGGTGTCACTGGGGCTGTTTTCTTTCAATTTTTGACTCCCGTGAATTGTTTTCCTGTTGTCAGTTGGCTAGATGGCTCCGGGGGAGGGACATCTCTGAGATGTACTGATCGTCTTGATATTTGTGTGCCTCTTGGTGCACAGAATTTAACCCAGGGCCTTTCCCGTGCTGGTCACATGCTCTGCCTCTGGGCTACATTACCAGTCTAATTTTTATTTTGGGAGGAAAGAGGGTGCTGGGGATTGAACACAGGACTTTCACATGAGCTATATTCTCATCCTTTTTCCCATTTTTAAGTTTGAGACAGTAGGCCGGGGGTTTGGCTCAGTGACACCAGCATCTGTCTGGCAAGCATGAGATCCTGAGTTCGATCTCCAGTACCAATAAAAAAAAAAAATTAAGTTGAGACAGTGTCTTGCCAGTGAGCTTAAGGCCAGCCTGAACTACATAGTGAAACCCTGTTTCTAAAAGACCAAAAAAAAAAAAAAAAGATTCCCAGACTGACCTTGAATTTGCAATCTTTCTGCCTCAGCTTCCCAAAAAGCTGGGATTATAGGCATGTGCTACTATGGCTGACTCCCAATCTTGATCTTGCAAAAGACACAGGATCACTTCCTTTTATTACACTGTCAAACTTTGGACCTACCATCTTCCTGCTCGAGGTACTCTATAAAGCCCCCAAAGACCCAGAGTCCAGTCTGCACTGCTGCAGACACGGTCCTTCCCAGGGAGAAGGAAGAGGGGCTTTGCCTTTGTCTGACCGGCTCTTTGCCTTTCCTGCTTGCTCCTCCAGGTTTTCCAATGCATTTTCCTACTATGGGTTAGTTCTTCTCACCACCGAGCTCTTCCAGGCGGGTGACGTCTGCAGCAGTGAGTATCCCCCCAGGTCTCTTTACCAGGTGCTCAAACCCACCCTTGCATAGGTGTGTGCACTTCTAGGCTGGGTTCTGCCCGATGGGCCTGGGGTCCAAGATGACCTGAACGAGCCTGGATGGCCTTCAGGTGATGAGCTGACACAGTCCTGTGTTGGGTTTGACTTCTGAAGCAAGTGCTGTTCAAAGATCAACCAAGGCACACTGAGTCTTTGGTTAAGTGGGAAGAGATTCATGAGCCAGGCAGCACCAGACTGCAGGCGGTTTGGGCTGCATGGCAGCGATGCAAGAGGAAAATGTTCATAAGTGTCAAAAGTGTTCCCATGGGCTGGGGATTTAGCTCAGCGGCATAAGCGACTGCCTTATAAGCAGGCAGTCGTGAGTTTGATCCCCGGTCTGATAAAAGTGAAAAAGAAAAAAAACAAAACAAAAAACGACCAAAGGAGCCAGGCATGGTGGCACAGGCCTGTAATCCCAGCACTCCCAGAGACTGCGGTAAGAGGGTGGTGAGTTCAAGCCCAGCCTGGGTGACTTAGTGAGACTCAATCCCAAATATAAAATAGAAAAGCTGGTGGTGTAGCTTAGTGGGAAGGCCCTGGGCGTCAATTCCTAGTACTGGAAGAAAATAAAAAAGACAAAATGCCAACAAATTTAACTAAAGATCTAATTACTGTCCTGGGGTGTAGCTCAGTGACAGAGCACCTGCTTAGCAGGCTGGAGGTCCCGGGTTCAACCTTCAGCATCACAAAGTCAAAATAAGGATGAAATTGGCTTTTATTAGTGATTCTAGAATAGAGGGGATTTTGTTTTGTAAAATAGATGTTCTGATAAGCCCAGCAGAGGAAGTAGGCTTTATAGGTAGGGAAAAAGAAAAAGCTGAGAAAATCATAAATGGGTAAAAAAAAAGTGGATTGGTCTATTCTTCCTTTTTTTTTTTTTTTTTTTTTTTTTTTGTCTTTCAATACCAGAGATTAACTCTAAGGCAGTAGTGGCGAACTTATAGCACACATGTTATTTGTTTTTCCTTTAAGACAAGAGATGTGAACATGGAGTTGTTTTTACTAAATTAAAACCTCAGTATTCAGGGCTGAGGATTTAGCTCAGCGGCATAAGTGCCTGCCTTGCAAGCAGGCAGTTGTGAGTTCGATCCCTGGTACCGAAAAAAAAGGAAAAAACAAAAAACAAAAAAAAACCCTGAGTATTCAGGGTTAATAGCATGCTGACTCTTTGCAGTAAATAAGTGAGTTTTGGGGTTGGAGTCTGGAGGCTCATCTCTAAAAGGTTTGCCATCCCTGATCTACGGCCTCCCACATGCTAGGTAAGTGCCCCACCACATAGCTACATTTCCTGCCTACAGTCTCAGCCTTTTTATTTTATTTTGAGGCAGTCTTGCTAAGCTCCACAGTCTGGGCACAGACTTGTAATCCTCTTACCTCAGCTTCCAACTAGCTAGGACTGTAGGCGTGTGCCACTGTGACAATGGGTGACGGGGTTCTTAATTTCTTGTGCTTAATTTCTTGTGATAAACAAAGAACTGGACACAGCGTGGGATGGCAGGGAAAACAGCAAAGTTTGAAACAGGCAACAGTATGCTCAGTGAGCAGGCTCACGCTGGTGAAGGAAATAGTCAAGCACTGCAGGTGCTGGGGTTAAGAATTTAAAATGTGCCAGGCCCAGGGCTCCTGTCACTGGGTCTTGCAGAGCACGGCCTACAGTGTGGTTGATAGGCTGCTGAGTCATGTCAGTGGTGGTCTTGAGCTGGTAGATGGGGTCCCACACATAATAAGATAATTTTCCATCTATGGCTCATGTCGTTTTATTACTGGGATCTGGGGTGCTGGGCTCTTTCAGGGACCCCTTCTAGGCTCTTGTTATCCTGAACAAAGAATTGGGCGGGAAATGAGGTGGCAAGGTTTTACATTTATTAAACTATTAAAGGTAAGCAAAGGAGTGTGCTCTGAAAAGTGAAGGCGTACACTCTGCAGAATGAGTGCAGGACAATTAAAGGAGGAAAACGAACACACTGCAGAAGGCAGAGCAGACCACTGAGAAAGCAGAGGCCGTGAGGCCAGTGGTCTGACTTCTATTCCCCGTTCTGGCATCAGATTGAGACCATCCTATCAAAACCTTGCTTGATCTTGCAGAAGAACTGCAGATAGCATCCTCTGATCGTACTAGGTGCAAGGCTCAGAAGCTGTTTTATGCACGGGTCCTGGCTGTCTGTGATTGACACGTCATGCCCACTTGCTCAGCCAGCCGACACTCCTGTCCTACTTTCCCATAATTCACTCTGTTATAACTGGATACAGGAGATGCAGTCTATTTGTATGAACGTTCAGTGAGTTCTGTGTGAAGAAAGCTTATCGCATGACTTGCCAACAGGTCTGGCCCACACCCATCCTGGTTTGGAATTTCAGAATTTTCCAGGGTGGGCTCAGGGATCTTTGTTGTTATTGTTCTGTTTTGTTTTCATTTCTGCCTTAAGGTATAGGCCTTAGGACAAAAGTTGGGGTGTGACCCTAGAGCATTGCCCCGGTTCAGGTGAGCATCAGAAAAAGGTCCAGTCGCCCAGCTGTTTTATATTACCACTGTGCCTGGCCAGACTGGTTTTTTCAAAGTTGTTCTCATTATAGGGTTAAAACAAAGAGGTCTTCGGGTCTTGTTGGCTGTAGTAACCTAAGCCCCTTCTCACTGGTTGCTGTGAATCTCAGGTTTTTGGGACATTGGCCCCTCTCAAAATTCAATTGGGTTATACCACAATGACTGTGTGGTCCTGTCTGCTAGGGTAGTACAGCACACAAGTCCAGACCACCTCCTGTAACCTTTAACAGACAGTACACACAGAAGCAAAGAAACTGACAGAGTAAAGTGAGACGTGGCCCTTCTAGCTGATGGTTTCTGATTGGTTAACTTACTGTTTGCTCGCTGGAAACCTAGTTCCCTGGGACCTATCTTAGTCTAATGGTCTTCCAATTAAAATTTCCAACAGCTGTTAAGTGAAAATTATTAGAGGTCAACATTATCATTGAAATCTCCTGAAGAATCCAGGAAGTACAGCACCCGGCGTTTCATGGTTATGATCCTGTTCAGCAAGGCCAAAAAGATGCTAAGTTTTAGAACCAGATTGGAGCTACCATCCTGACCACACAAAAGAGTCACGCAGGGATCTTTTAAACAATGCCAATGCCATTTAAACAATGCCCACACCAATGTAATCACTAAGGGTAGAGCCCAGGCATTAGTGATTGTTGAAAGCACCTTGGGTGAGTCTATTCTGAAGCTAGAGGTGGGAACCACGGGGTAAAAAAAGAAATGAAAGAACCTCTATATCCAGATGTCTGGGCTTTCAAGTCATTCTGTTTTTAAGATAATAATAGATTCCGAGCCTTGAATTCAGGCTTGGAGACAAAAGAATCAAGTTGTACTGCTTGTCTTGAGGGTTTGCCCAATTCTCTTTTTCATGTTAAACCTTAGTTAATAGTTTTGCTATTGCGACTGAGGATGAGCTCCGTGCTGGAGCTCAGGCTTAGTATGTACAAGGCCTTGCATTTAATCCCTTCCGCCAAAAGAAAGGAGGACATAAAGCCACTTTATTATTATTTTTTCCTCTCTCTTCTCCCAGAAACAATAGCCTGGGCAATTCCTTTTCACTTGCAATTGAGTTCTGCCTTTCCCTTTTAATTTGCAAACGGTGCCCTCTAACCTGTGAATAGATCATCTTTCCCCCTGTAAATTAGATCATCACAAAAAAAAAAAAAAAGAAAGAAAGAAAAAACAACCAGTAAAATTATCTTATTATACGTGGGTCCCATCTACCAGCTCAAGACCAACACTGTAGATTAGTGAATTACACAGATTTCCACCACCAAAAACACATAGGTATCCCCAGTTCCAAACTGTAGTGCGTCTCCTTTCTCTGAGCACACAGTTTGCTCTTGAGTGCCTCTCCCTGACACATCCCGAAAATTCTCTTTTCTCTGGAGTCAGCAAACCTGCAAACCTAGTCTACAAAGAGGTGGGTGAGGTTCCTTATTTCAGTTTTGGGAACCTCTCCTACCTAGCCTGGTAACAAATTGATTCAAGAAGTTTCACTTTTATGGTCACTGTGAGTTTGCAGAGGAACTAGAAGTTGCATGATCCCAGCTCTAGTGAATGAACTAGGTGAGGGGACGTGGTAACGTTTTTAGGAGCCTGTCTTTCTGTTGGGCGGAGCTTAGCAGTGGCATTTGATAGAATTGTGGGGGCGGCAGCTGAAAAGATAAGAAGTATGAAATATAAATGACCTTTATTTTGAGAATGTGGGGAGAGACCCCCACCCGGCCCCTGGGGTGCGGCATCTGCCCCCGGGGTCTGTGATCTCTCCGTGGAACACGTGGAGTAGGGGCATACATGTAGCTTAGGTTAGGGGTGGTGCTGATGGGCATTAGGGATGCACAGGTATCTCATTGGATTCATTTCACGCCAGAGCAAATTCCTAGGGGTGGGGAAGATAGGGATACAGGTAAATTCCTAGGGGTGGGGGAGATGGAGCTCCTTGGTTTCACCTGAGGCTTTACTGGCTACAGTGTCCAGTCTGGGCCCAAACTCTTTCATATCCTATCTTATGATTATTATTATTAGGAAAAAGGGCAGAGATTTCTTTTTTTACTGCTTCCTGCTGGAAGGGGGCACTGTACTGGGGTCTAGGAGAGTCAAAGGGATGACGGTTGATGCCCATGTAGAAGCTGGTGCCAAGAGTTTTAGCCAGGACAACTTCATTGGTGAATGCACATATGTTAGACTGGAAAAACAAAGAGACAAGAGGTTATGAGGAGGCATGGCACTGTCATATTTAAGGACCCAGGTGAGGTAGAAGGCAAGGTGCTTTTGATTTAGATATATCATTATATCAGGACCATGTTGAGGTAGAATTATTTCCATGGTAAGGCAGAATTCTGAGAAATAAATGTGGTGTTAGGAGGAGTGAAGTTATGAGAGGTGATTACTTCCCCATCTGAAAGGGTAAAGGTTAAGATGGTAGGTAGGTAAGGCTTGTCTCTGGTATGCATGACTTTGGAGTCTTTAGGAAATATTGTTGAGAGTCCTGCTGTAAAAAAGGATAAGAAATTAGAAATCAAATTGGGTAACAAGACATGACAGCCTGAGAGTTGTGGTTTTGGGGCCTTTGTAAGGCAGAGATGAGTAGACAACAGGATGGTTAGATCTAGGGCTGGAAGGGCACCACTTAGCCTGAGTGATGTGAAACCAGGATGGCAGTCTAGCAACTTTGATCACTGTTGAGGTTGCCAAGAATATCAGGTATGGGTCACTGTAACCTGCTTGTAGTCCTTGGAATGATTTGCTGTAACAGGATTTTAGTAAGTATATCAGCAGTTTCCCTGGTTGTGGGAAAGGCTTTTATGTATCCTGAAAAAGTGTAAACGAAGTGAGAAGACAAAATTTATTTGTCAATCTTGATCAGGGTTGTCTGAGAAATTGGTGGATAAGAAAGGAAGGGGATGGTCTAGCGATAACAGGTGTAAGCTGTTGAGGCCTCAGTGTCTGGGTCAGCCTGTATAAACATGAGGGAATAAAAGCATTTTTTAAAGATTTAGGACTATAGAGTGAGTGGTGGAGGGAAGATTTGGCACCACTGGGTGGATTGGGAAGAAGCAGTCTGGAACCTTTATGAAACAGGGCCTGTTTGTAAATGGCATAGGTTGACCTTTAATATGACCTTTAATATCTCTTAGAGTTTGAGGACTTAATATAGCAGCCTGAAAACTCAGGAAGGACTGTATATATGGCCTCTATGTCCACAAATATAGAAAATGTCTTACCTTACTTTTAGTGGGACTTGGATTCTGAGACAGACATCTTAAAGTGGGCTCACTGACAGTGAGCCCTGTCAGTCTTTAGCAGCAAGTTTAAGCAGATCTGTCGGTGATGAATCTGGCAGTGTTGGCATTTCCTGTGAGGGCTGGAAGTTAGGATGGCTTACCTACTCTCTGGGGGCTAGGACAGTCCAGTAGCCCTGGAGAAAGATCCCAAAGGAATGCCAGGATGGGGCACTCTCTTGCCCAATGTCTTCTGCTGCATTTGAGGCATGGTCCGTGGGGGACCCAGGCAGCTCCACCTTGTGTCGGTTTACCTGTCTCAGAACTCCAAGTGTCACAAGTGTTATTGTTATCTCTGTTGCTGAAAACATGAAAAACCATATTAAGGTCTCTATGAGCTTTGAAGGTCAAGTTTTGCCTTTTCGTTTGGGATTTGGACTACAGTAGAAGGAATCTGTAGAATTAAGTAAGTATGCAGGAGTTAAATATAATCAACAGGGTATTTACAATTTTAATAATGGCTTCTCATAAGGAGGACAGGTCCAGAGAATTTTAGGAACTGACATGTTATTTATGTCATATATACAAGTGTCTCTTTATGTTGTTAAAATGTCTAATGCCATCTGATTTTTGGAGGATGGCCTGTTTAATTAACTTTTTCCTTTTTATTTAGGAGAGAAATCAGCTAGTGTTATTTAATATCAGCTGAATATAGTTAATTATGGCTCGGTGGAGGGCTGAGCCAGGGCAGGCAGGTAGGCTGGGAAAGGTTTAAGTTGGCTTCTGCCGCAGTGTTGGTCTTGTTGTTTGCATATATCATATAACCCTTGTTTTGGAAAAGAGCTAGTGTTTCCCAGCAAAAGGAATTTGTAATTTGTTTTTAAATTTTAGTTGTTAAACATCTATATTGTACATTTTTAAGCCTATATCTGGATCTGAAAGAAAACATTTGTCATGGCTGGAACACAAAAAAGGCAGCAGAAACAATCTGAGCTTTATATCTGAAAACACAAATACAGCATCAGATCAGCAACTATGAATTGTCTTAGTCATATGAACTTTAGTTGAGATATCTCATAGAACGCTATGGAGATTAATGAAGGCTTTAATTGATAAACAAGGCTGGTAAAATTATCAGGTGGCCACTTCCCGTTTATCAGCCAAAGTCTTGTCTATTGCCGGCTTATTTAACCTTGATTAAATGGTCTGAGAATGTAAAAAATAGCATCTCCGGGCTGGAATTTAGCTCAGCGGCATAAGCGCCTGCCTTGCAAGCAGGCAGTCATGAGTTCGATCCCCAGTACCAATAAAAAGGAAAAAGACAAAAAAAAAAAAAAAAAAAAAAGCATCTCCAAGCTGAGCCGCAGAGCTGCTGTTTATCTGTGTTTGTGGTCCAGAGCACGGCAGAGCACACCCAGTGTGGCGATGGGCCACGCAGAGTGAAGGCAGGGTGAGCACCAGGAGATAGCGCATGGAGCGGGGCTGGGACTGCCCTGGGAAAGGTGCACAAGGCGGCAGCAGTGGCGGGGGCAAGTGCACAGCACAGCACACAGAGGGTGAAGCTGGGAGGCGGAGTTGGGACGCAGCGTGAAGCTGGGATCTTTGGGGCTGCTCGCGGAGCTGCGGCCTGACACGGAGCTGAGCTGCCACGTGGAGTTGGAACTGCTCACGGGGCGCGTGGATTAGGGCACAGCATTAGAGCTGACCCTGTGCGGACCTGGAGGGTGGCATGAGAGCTGAGATGCTGTGCAGAGTTGGGGCAGGGTGTGAAAGCTTAAAGCAGCAGTATCTCCCAACACTGTTTGGGCACATTTCTCCCATCTCGGCAGGGAATGGGTCGGCACATAGTGGGAAAGGGGAAGTGGTGAGGAGACAAAGGGGACACTGGTGGAGAAAGGACACACATTCCCAAACCAAAGGCTTAAAGATAAAGAGTTTTGTAAACTTGTCGTCAGTGTGATAAGCCATAGATAGGTATCCTTTTTTTGGGAGGGGACAGGAAGTGGTCCCTGAGATAAAATCTGGTGTGGGGTCTGGCCCACAGAGTTATAGCCAGATGAGGCAACGGACTGTGGACTACTAAGTTTAAGTTGTCACTTTTTACTCTAGATTGATCAGTATTTTGGTTCCAAAGCTTGTAATAATTGGCCATCACCAATATACGATTGGATTTCACGTGGGTTTAGTAACAGCTCTGCCCGTGGGAACTTAAAAAGCTCTGAAGGACGTGAGAGTCTCTCAATGTAGACACAGGCTGGCCCACCAAAACTCTGCCTTGGGCTAAGGATGTGAGAGAGTCACGTGAACCCACAGAAAGGGGGAGAAAACCCACCTGGGGCCTGGCCCAGCGGCAATCTCCAGGGGTTGCTCACCTGTGGTAAATTGGGTTGGTGTTGTTTTTGAACCAGCAGCCACAAGTTTACAGCTCCCGAGTGTAGAAGTGAGGAATTAATGCAGGATGCAGTCCAGTCCTGGTCCTGAACAGCAGGGAACTCAAACTGGGAGGGCCCCAGGAATCTCTCGTCTGCCGTTCCCGGCCAGGGAACAATATGATAGAACTGTGGGGGACCAGCGGCAGCTGAAAAGATAAGAAGTATGAAATATAAATGACCTTTATTTTGAGAATGCAGGTAGAGACACCCCCGACACCCTGGGGCGTGGCATCTCCCCCAGGGTCGGCCATCTCTCTGTGGAACACGTGGAGTGGAGGCATATAAGTAGCCTAGGTTTGGGGTGGAACCTAAGGGGCATTAGTGATGCACAGGTAGCCCACTGGTATTCTTTTGGCGCCAGAGGTAAATTCCTAGGGGTGGGGGAGATGGAGCTCCTTCGTTCCGCCTGAGGCTTTATCAGCTACAGTGTCCTGTCTGGGCCAAAACTCTTTCAGCTAGGAGTCTTATGGAAACACAATTTAAAGCTAGTGATAGTGTTATCTAATGTAGGGATATAGTGATCCTAGAGTAGGAATACACTTTTTAAATATAGTTTTCCTTTAAGTTAGTAGTCCCCTCCCACTTCTTGTCTTTGCATTTTACTGGAAGTGGGGAAGAGCTGCTATCTTGGTTTTGAACACCTGGATTCACCCCTCTGATTATCAGCCCTCCTCCCCTCTGGTCCTTTGATGTAAGTCCCAGTGCCTTTTGGTGCCTTTCTTTACTTGCTGTCTTCTCTCTACCCTTGTCCTTTTAATAGATTCTTTAAAATTTAAACATTCATTGTGGTACACTCAGCGGGTGGTGGGGTCCAATTGGGTTTCTATGTTCTTGTGCACAGTGAAAAAAATAACTAAATGTGTCCTTCCCTGGAAAGGGAAAAGCAGCCAAGTTTAATGAAATTTAGTTGGGTAATGGTGCACTCAGTGTGAGCGAGCACATACCTTCAGAAAGGAACCCGAATTTGTGGGTTTAAGAATTTACAATGTTGCGCTGGGTCTCCCTGTGGGTCCTCTAGAATGTGTTGAGCATGTGAATGACCGAGGCCTGTGTCCTGTCTGCTCTATCTATTTGCACATGGCCTGGCCCATAATTCATTCTGTTATGTTGGATGCTTGAGATGCAGTCCATATGCATGAGACTTCAGTAAGCTCCAAGTGAATACAGGTTACTGCAGGTTATGTCAGCCAATCTGGCACACAGGTATCACCTGTGTTGTTGGATATCTAGGCTTAGGACAAAGGTGGGGATGTGGGTTAGCCTGGGGCATTGCCCAGGTCCAGGTGAATGGTGAGGAATGGTCCTTTAGCCTCAAATGCACTATCTATATTAATGTGTATTTTGATCACCTCCTGAATAACAAAATAAGCTCTGCCTGACAACCAGTTAAAAGGGGCAAAGGGAAGTCCCTCTCTATCCTCTGAACAATCACAGAAGTAAACTGAAAAAAGATTGAACAGACGAAAATGCATACAGATTTATTAATGTCCAGAAGAGCATGCAGTGAGATGCAGCTGGAGCTCTCCTCTGAGGGTCCAGCCTGAATCTGTGCATCTCCTGGGCTCTTTCTTTGGCACCTCAGCTGAATTATAGCCAGGAAGAAGGTGCAGGGAGCAAGAAGGCGTGACTCAAGGTGATGTGACTCTTCCTCCTCCCCTCCCCTAGTTTCCAATCGGAAGAAGGCGGTGGAAGCGAAATGCAGCCTGGCCTGTGAGTACCTGAGTGAGGAGGATTACATGGACCTGCTGTGGACCACCCTTTCCGAGTTTCCGGGTGAGGAACCTCTGCTGGGTGAGACTGAGGCACGGAGGCCACAGGACATGGCTGGGGGCTCTGTCTCTGTCAGCTGGACAAGAATCCATTTCTATAGGAGCCAGGGATTGTTTTCTTCAAGTTGTAAGAAGTAACAAGGGGCACAGAGTTCCACCTTTTTTAAAGGTTATTGAGCTGCCCAGTTTTGTGCTGCTACCAGGAGACACGAGACTTCTGGATCAGAGATAAGAGACTATCCTAATGCGTAACATGAGTAGTATACGTTGGTGTTGGTTCCTCTTTCCTCCAGTCCCACATGGATGCTGCAGAACAGCCCAGGTGAATGCTACCCATGCAATAGATTTATAATACAGCCGAGTGTGTGAGTTTAGTTTCTATTATTAAAATGAAGTAGCGAAGGCTGAGTGGTTTATAAAGAAAAGACCTTTATGTGGCTCCCTGTTCCACAACTGTGGACCGGTTCTGCTGAGGCGCTCATGGTGGCTCTCACAGTGGTGGGAGAAAGAAGGGACCAGTTACAACCTCCCACTGGGGCCCACCACCCTGAGGACCAAACTCCCAGCCCATATACCTGAGGGCTCACTCAACCCATATTCAAACTGCAGCACCAAGGAACTCCAAGCTTAGGAGACCCAGATCTTTTTTTTTTTTTTAAATTGGTACCGGGGATCGAACTCACAACCGCCTACTTGTGAGGCAGGTGCTTATGCTACGGAGCTAAATCCCCAGCCCCAACCCATATCTTTTGTAGTGGACTGCCAGATACCTGTCCAACCTTGGCCCTAATAGGAGACACCACCTATTATATTACTCCATGAACAAATCTGCCCTTTGTACAGAGGAAGACAGTATCCCTCTCTTTGAAGAAATGATAATTACTGTAACAATAAAAATATCCAGAGTTTGATTTCCAGTCCAAAAAAAAAAATCCACTATTTATCAGGGCTGTGTATGTAGCTCAGTAGTAGATTACTTACCTGGTACATGCAGGGCTTTGGGTTCCATTCCCAGCATTGTAAAACAAAACAATGAAAACTATTATCAGACATTTACTACATATCAGGAACTGTGCTAAATGCTTTGCAGGTAGGAAAACACTGAATCTTATGAAGTAATATAATTATTTTCATTTTACAACCGAACAAACTGAGGTTTGAAGAAGGTATAACTTTCCCGGTGTAGCAGTCACACCTTGTCCCTGTCAGGACCTGCACCTCTGTGCTCTATCTCAATGCAAGCCTGGGTATCTAAAAGTGAGCACAGTGCCTGGGAAGGCCAGAGCGTTAATATCTAGGAGCAGGCTATCAGTAGCATTTCTTCTGGCGGCTTATTTTGATGATTAAACAGGGTAATAGAGAAGTGTATCCTCAAATATAGTTGTTAGTAATAATAGCAAGCACTATTCTGCTTCCACTGAGGTAGGAAATGTTATGGTTTTTTTCCCATTGAACAAATGAAGACACTAAGCTCAGAAACGGCCCAGGACTAGTCCAAGACCACACGGCAAGTTAAAGGCAAATGAGGCCTTAGAACCCAGGTGTTTCTGACTTCTAGCTCAGATACTCTGCTGCCTGGCTTGAGCGAATGGTACTGCTCAAACTTTCTCTCCTATATGTATTAGTTATGTACTGCCGTGTAACATATCATCCCGAAATGCAGTGCACTTATTATTACAGTTGCTGTAGATGGACCAAGACTCTGAGAATAGCTTCCTGGGTCTTCTGCTTTGGCAGACCTTACAGGCTGCAATCGAGGAGTTGCCCAGGCTCTCATCAGAAAGCCCAGCCAGTGCATTCCCTTCCACCTCTGCATGTGACCGTTAGCAGGATTCGCTTCTTCCGGTGCTGGACTGGGGGCCTCAGCTCCTCCCTGGCTATTGTCCAGAGGCTCCCATCAGTTCTTTGTCAGGTCACCTTCTCCATCCAGGCTCCAGAAGAGCCATGGAGAGAGAGCATGCTGCAAGACAGAGGCCATGGCTTTCTGTCACCTAAAGTGATATTCACTGCCTTAATGGGAAGTAATGTTCATCATGTTGGCTCTGGGCCCCTGTAAAGGGGAGAGGATGACCCAGGGTGTGCAGGGCAGGGCGGAGGGCATTGGGAGCCACCTCAGAAGCTGCCCACCATGCCCCTCCTTCCTGGCAGGTGTCCTTGTGACTCTGTGGATCATTGACCGCCTGGGCCGCAAGAAGACCATGGCCCTATGCTTCATCATCTTCTCCTTCTGCAGCCTCCTACTGTTCATCTGTGTTGGCAGGTGAGTTATCAGAGGAACCCCCAGGCCCTGCACCAGCACTGAGGCTCACCTCAGAGGTAGCCGAATGATCCAGCTCAGTGTCAGGACTTCTGACAAGAGCAGTCACAGGAGAGCCTCGCTTTGCCCTAGTTACATCAAAGTTAGACTTTGGCTGTCAAGTCCAAATGGTATCAAACACATAACTATATATGTGTTAATAATACTGCTTTGTGAACTGGGCGTGGTGGCTCACGCCTGTAATCCCAGCACTCGGGAGGTTGAGGTGGGAGGATCGTTGCGAGTTCAAGATCAGCCTGGGCTACAAAATGAGCTCAAAGCCAGCCTGAACGGCATAGCAAGACCCTGTCTCAAAAAAGACAAAAAAAAAAAAAAATTGCTTTGTTCAATGGAAATCAACCTTGTTTCATAATCCTAGTTTGGAATTTCTCCAGTTTTTCCAATTCCCAAGAGCCCTACAATATAAAAATGTGTAAATCAACACTCTGGGAGGCTGAGGCAGGAGGACTGCAAGTTTAGGGGCCACCAGGGGCAACTTAATGGGACTCTGTCTTGAAATAAAAAATAAGAAAGTTGGGCATGCATAAGACATGGGATTCAATTCCTGGCACCGCAAAGAAAAAGGAAAGGCCTTTAGAAATGGCGCTGGGATGTGTGTACCTGCACAGGCACATGGATGCATGTTTGCCAATTCCCAGGGTGTAAATTCTGCCGAGGGAGGTAAGATTTTGCTAAAACAAACAGAGAACAACAACAATGACAACAAAAACTGGGTCATCTGTTTTTTCTCCACTCCCCAGAAATGTGCTCACTCTGTTACTCTTCATTGCAAGAGCGTTTATTTCTGGAGGCTTCCAAGCAGCCTATGTTTACACACCTGAGGTAGGAGGGGTCCCTGGGGTCAGCAGGGTCGGGTGAGGGGATACTGCTTCCAGAAACACCCAGCCTGGCTGCTGGGAATGAATTTATCCTTGAATCGGGGCTGGGGATTTAGCTCAGCGGCATAAGCGCCTTCCTTGCAAGTGTGCGGTCGTGAGTTCGATCCCTGGTACTGATAAAAACGAAAAAGACAAAAAAAAAAAGAATTTATCCTTGAATCTGAGTGGTGATCCTGAAGCCTTTCATTATTTCATCCTCTTTTTGCAATCGTTTTCTTTCTTCTGCTTTATAAAATGTTACCTGTGTTAAAACGCAGCGTGGGGGCTGGGGAGGAAGCTCAGCGGCACAGTGCCTCCCTAGCAAGTGTGAGTTCATGAGTTTGATTCTTGGTACCAAAACAGGAGGGGGAAAAATTCAACATGAAAGGGTCCCACACATTCTCCCTTCCTAGAAACGACCTTAGGGATTGGTTCAGTGAGTTTCCCCACATCGCTTTCTAAGCATATTTAAGTGTAGCATACATCACAGCAGGCAGCTGGTAACTGAGAAATGTTGAATAAAGGGACTAGTTCCAGTGGCTTTACAATGGCGTGGACAAAGATTAGGGACACCAGAGCCACAGCTGGGTGAAAGTCCCTGAGGCAACTGCCACCACCCAAAGCCATTGGGGTGAAAGGAGGGGACTCAGGAGAGTTGTGTGGGGCTGTTAGCAGAAGGACACAGGTGAAACTCAAACCTCAGGGCTTATTAGTAAAGTTTTATTAGAACACACGGCACCCTTTCACCTACAGGTGATTCTTGACTTAGGGATGTTCAGCCTTAGGCGGTGTGAAAGCCGCTTGTGTTTGGTAGAACCCATACTATGATGTTCGGGAGGTTAGGGACCTCAAATACATTTTTGACTTATGATATTTTTAGCATGTAACGGGTTTATCAGGATGGGACCCCATCATAGTAACCTTGTTACTCTCTAGGGTTGCTACATCAGCAGAGTAGAGCAGAAGCCAGGGGCCATGTGGCTTGCAAAGTCCAGAATTTTGTGAGACAGCTTGTCTCCAACTCTTTTTTTTTTTTTTTTTTTTTTTTGTGGGTACCGGGGATCGAACTCACGACCACCTGCTTGCAAGGCAGGTGCTTATGCCGCTGAGCTGAATCTCCAGCCCCGACAGCTTGTCTCAAAATAAAATAAAAAGGGGTGGGGGAAATAAAAAAATAAAAAAGGGATGTAGCTCAGCACTTCAGGGTTCACTTCCTCTTACCAACCAAAAACATCCCCAAGCCCCAGACCTAATCATACACACTAAAAAAGTACTCCTAAAAAAGACCAAATGTGGACATGAAAGAGATTCACATCTGTCTAAAAAAAAGAAAAAAAAATTCTTGCAGAGTATGGTAGCACATGCTCATAATCCCAGCACTCTGGGAAGCTGAGGCGGGAGGATCACAAATTCAAATCCAGATTGGCTAACTTAGTGATTTAGCAAGACCCTGTCTCAAACTAAAACAGTAAAAAGGCTAGAGATGTCCAGTATGAAATCCTAGGACCTAGAGCCAGGCTTGGTGGCATATGCATGCAATCCCAGCATTGGGGAGCGTGAGGAGAGGGGGTTACTGTGAGTTCAGGGCCTGCCTGGGCTACATAGTGAGTTCAAGGCCAGCCAGAACTACATACTGAGAGCCTCAAAACAAAACAAAAGAATAACAACAACAAAAAAGAAATTCTAGATCGTAGGTTTAATCTCCATTACAAGAAAAGAAAAGAAAAAGAAAAAAATCCAAAGTAGCTTTATGCAGGGGGTGACATAGCATCTCCGCACTCTGTATTTGCTTCTGTGTAACTGGGGAGAGGAGGAAGGTGAGAGGCCACAGTGCTCGGATAAGAGAATTCTTCTCTGTGTCTTCTACCTTAGTCTGTTCCTAAAATTCTCCATCACAGAGAGCAATGCGCTTATAATGCTAATTCATTTATTCATTTTAGAACTGAATGTCAAGCATATGCCAGGCATTAATGGGCTTTATATAATATACGTTATAGCTATAGAGGAGACACAAGCACACAGTAGTGTCCCTGACCCTCCTCCCCCTCGGAGTGGACACGCCCTTCACCCCTGTCTGCCAGCCCTTCACCGAGGCAGTAGCGGGAGGCAATTGGGCCTGTCTGCAGGAGTTAGCCCTGTTAGTCCAGCACTGTCGGGGACAGGCCATGGTTGATTTTCCCGAAGCTCACATTCAGCTGCTGTTTCAGGTCTACCCCACTGCGACGCGTGCGCTGGGCCTGGGCACCTGCAGCGGCATGGCGAGAGTGGGGGCTCTCATCACTCCGTTCATCGCTCAGGTAGGTGTCACCCCAGTTGAGGGGGGAACAAGCGGTCCTCTAGGTGAGCCTTCTGCAGCCCTTTGGTGTAAATACCTTTATTCATCCTAAAACCCTCCTTCCCTAGGAGGGTAAAGCGAGTTGCCCAAGGCCACACAGCTGGGAAGTAGAAGAGCCCAGTACTGCTCAGTTCTTTCTTATGTGGAAAACCTTGAGGGTGCCAGAGGTTTTGACCAATGACAATTTAGACAAGCAGGGTGTGGTGTAGTCCCGGCTATTCAGGAGGCTGAGGCAAGAGGATCATTTGAGCCCAAGACTTCAAGGCTAGTTTGGTCAACATAGCAAGAGCAAGATACTGTCCCAAAATAAGAAAATTAAAAGAAAAAAGAAAAACAAGTGGTCCTATGCAAATAAATATTCTTGGGCCAGCGATTTAGCTCAGTGGCATAAGTGCTTGCCTAGCAAGCATGAGGTCATGAGTTCAACCCCTGGTACCCAAAAAAAAAAAAAATATATATATATATATATATTCTTGCAACTTGAGGCTGTACTCATAAGTTAAATAACTTAGACGTCCAAGTGTAAGCATTGGATTCTCACTAGTGTGTGAGAAACAAATAATATATGTATATATATGTGTGTGTATATATGTTTATTACAGTTAATATAGTTATACTACTAATTTCTCTGAGTTCATTAAAGAGGAAGGTTTGCACTAGTTCTGTTTGGACAGCTGAATGCAGATCTCTCAACCTCTGGGTGACAAATTTGAGGGTTGTAAGGCACATTACATTGAGAATGTACATGCCATTTTTGACCCCTGATTGCAGTGTTTTGAAATTTTATTTTTTTCTCTTTGAAATAAAGTGGATTTTTAAAAAGAGAAGGAAATGATATTTTATAAAGTGCTTTATTCTAAAATAAATAAATGAATAAATGTCCTCGTCCAATAGTGGCAAACTTATAGCATGTGTGTTATTTGTTATTCCTTTAAGACAAAAGATGATACTGTATGAATTGTTTTTTCTAATCTGAAATCTCAGTATTCAGGTTTAATCGCAGTGTTGGCCCTGTGCAATACATTAGTGGGTTTAGGGGTAGAGTTGGGTACTTGTCTCTGGAAGGTTTGCCATCACTGTCGTAGGCTCTCCTTTTGAAACTGGATAAATAGGGAGAGTTAACAAAATTTTGCAACTCTCTGGGGGCCTTTGAAACGTATCTATCCATTTTTAGGGAATCTCAGTCAATCTTTTGCTTTTGAATGTCCTATTTTGTTTCTGTTTTTGTCACTTCTATTGAGGTATAATTTCCTAACTAAAGTTCCCATCGTACAATGGAAACAATTCAGTGGCGTTCAGCACATTTGCAGCGTTACCTACCTACCCCTCCAGTTCCAAGCATTCTCATCACCCCCAAATCCAGATAAGGGGAACCCCAATATGCGGCTTGCTCATTTGTTTATTGCACTGGGGCTCACACCCAGAGCGCTCTACCACTGACCTACATCCCCAGCCCTTTTTATTTTTTATTTTGAGAACAAGATCTTCCTAAATTGCCCAGGCTGATCTTGAATTTAAAATTCTCCTGCCTCAATCCATTTTACCCAAGAATTTCTGTTCTGTGTTGTCGTTATCAGCCACTGTATGTCACTCCTCACTGGTGGTGAGATGCTCGTGGTATCTGCAGGGTGCTGGGTGTTTCCAGCGCCCTTTCTCTAGCAGGAGCCTCTGTCCTTGTGCCCCTTAGGCAGAGGAGGAAATGGGGTCCGGCTCTGCCATGTGGTCCACAGTGTGTTATGCAGCTGGGAATTATAGTAACGGGGAGTCCAGGCTCCTCAGCCTGGCGCACCTGAGTTCAGATCCCAGCCTCATTCTCATTGTCTGTATGGGCTCAAATGTGCCACTGTCTTTTGAGCCTCAGTTTCCCCCTCGGTAAAATGAGGGTGAAGTTGAACTTGTACAGATGCTGCACGGTGTGTCTGCTCCAGAGAGAATGTGCTCACCAGCCTGCGTTTCCCTCCCCCAGGTGATGCTGGAGTCATCCGTGTACCTGACCCTGGCGGTTTACAGTGGCTGCTGCCTCCTGGCTGCCCTGGCCTCCTGCTTTTTGCCTATCGAGACCAAAGGCCGAGGACTACAGGAATCCAGCCACCGGGAGTGGGGCCAGGAGATGGTTGGCCGAGGGGCTCACGGTGCCGGTGTCGCCAGGTCGAACTCTGGCTCTCAGGAATAGTGACCGCTGCTGGGGCTGAGCTGGTCTTGAAGGCTGGGAGCCTGGAGAGCTGGTGGAGCCCAGCTGAGCCACTCATGGTCACTGCCGACGTCAAGAGGTCACTCAAAGGTGACCTGGACCAACAGGGCTTTGTGTCATGACTCTGTTTGCCCACATTCATTGAGGTCCACCGGGGCGGGGAGGCATTTGCTCTGGGTTTCTGTGTGTCGGGGGAAAGTTTACTAAAAACCTGTGAATCTGCATGATGGGAAAATGGCCACTACAGGAGGGGTCGGGATGCTGGCTGTCAAACAGCTGCTGTCCAGAGTCACCTGGTTCCACCCTCAGTGGACAACCACTGGAAAAAAAGTCTCTGTAGATACAGTCCAGGCCCTGCACAGACCAGACCTGTTCATTAAGCATCTCCTACACTCCAGGCCCCAGGCTTTCTTCTTTGAAATAACACATGACCAAGGTGTGCAGCCTGAGTTCCCATGTTCCCTCAGCAGGCTCCTTCTGATTGGCTCCCCTGAGCCCGCGTGGCGGGGACAGTGGCAGACAGATACACACTGAACTTGAGCCATGTGTGTCCACCCTCTTCGGAGCTGCTGTCTCTGGCTCCAGGGAGAGAGCTAGGAGAGCCTTACTCCACCCACAACCTGGAAATTGGGGGCTGAAGCCTGAAGGAAAAGAAACCACGGCAGGACGCTCTCCTTCTGAAGCTGGGGTGTCTTTTCTGGCCTCTTCCTAGGTCAGGCTGAATGGTGATTCTGGGAAAGAAAACAGCTCACTCAGGTTTCAGGGGTTTGGATTTTGTGGCCAGGCAGATGGCCGAATGGGCAGAGAAAGCTGTGTGACATTCATCCCTGGCTCCGGTCAGGGTCTGGGGATCACAAACCCTGCTGTGAAGCGCTGCCCTCCCCATACACCCCAGTTCTGTGCTGCACTGTCTACCAGGGGCTGTCCTTGTCCTTACAGAAGTAGCTCCTTGCTTCCAGCAATGGAGCCTGGGGCAGAGATGCCCTGGAATGGGGAGGAGCAGGAGGGCACAGGTTTGTGAGAGGTGTACCTTTCAGAGGAGGGAGGAGGCCAGCTGGGCTTGGGGTTGGCCCAAGAGGAAGGGCTCGAGCTAGGTCTCCACAGACTACATCCACTCCCAGGGTCGGGTCTAGATGAACCTGTTCCCCGTGGTGAAGGCAGAGACCTAGAGAAGTGGGGAGGAAGCTGCAGATCCCATCAAAGGCCGGAGAAAACAGACCCGTTGCTCGAAGTACACATTGCAAGGAAGCCAAATGTGTGTTCATCTCTTATTAAAACATGTTGGTGATGGACATTGCAAGGGTCTGCGTTTGGTCACTTGTCATAATGTCCCATTACAGTCCAGCTTAGTGATCCTGCTAACTTTTTTCATCCGAATTAATATCAGTGCTTTGTCCTGAGAACCTCCTTGTATAGCTGGGGGTTGGCCGGCGACATTGGGACTGTCATGGACATCTTCAGGATTAACTCCGAGGTCAACAACAACCAGTCCCATGTCCCAGGCAGGCCAGCAGGAAACAGTGTGGCTGGCTGGTGTCCTTTGGACAGCCTTTCTTTCTTGAATCAGGAGCAGCCATGGTTCTAATTATCTCTAGGTGACTGAGTCTTCCTGGGTAACACAGAACCTCCATTTGTCTTTTTGTCTTCCAGCTGGCCAGATGCTGCCAGACAATCATTTCTACCTCTTGCTCCAATATCCCAGGGAGCTGAGGATGGGTGGGAGAGGGATGCCTTGATTCCAGGGTCTAGGACGGAGGGGATTGCAGTTTTTCAATTGAGGAGGGAAAAAAGTTAAAAACTCTTTGCCTACTAAATAGCCTAGCCTTTTAAAAAAATCAGTATTACTGAATAATATAGAACTACAGCCCAGCAGTCCCCCAAGAATCTGAAATATACGAGGCCTTTAGCCGAGGTTGTTTTCCATCTATTGAGGGGTCCTGTTCCAAAACACTCCTGTTTGCATTAATGAAAGTGGCATCTCCTCCTCTCCATGTTAGAAAAAAGAGTTCAAAAAATTTCAAAAACATGTTCAGCAGAGCCAGGGCTCATTTCTTTCTCTTCAAATATTCTCAAGCACACACAGATGACCTTGGTGGTACTGGCAAGGAGATGAAAGAGTAACTTAGGAGTCAACTTGGAAAGGAATATGGATGTGCAATATTTCTTATTAATGTGAAGCAACAGAAAGCCCTGAATGGTGAGATCATGAGTCCCCGCCTTGTTCTCACTAACAGGCCTCTCCGGACCTCAGCTGCAAGTAGCAGGAAATGTATCCACAGAGGTTTAAACCATTAGAATAATCATTACCTTTTGTCAAGAAGCCCAAGTCAGAGTCCAAAGAATCTTCTGCAGCTCCTCGATGGTGTCCAGGACCCAGCTGCTTTTGTCTTTCCTTTGCACACTCTGCATTTGATTCCATGTATGAAACCTCGTGGGTCTGAGTCTGCTGGCCAAGTGTGGAGCATTTCATTTATTTTCTTCTTTGGTACTGGGAATTGAACTTAGGACCTTACGCTTGCCAGGCAGATGCTATGCCATTGAGCTACATCCCTGGCCTCCTTACATTTATTTGGAAAGAAAGTAGAATGGAAGAGTTTTTTTTTTCTCCCAGAAGGGTCTGTTGTTTGGGATTGGAAAGGAAAGTCCTCCAGCAGATTCACTTTTGTTTCTCATAGATCAGAACTATCTTGGTTACTTTTTGCTGGTACAAAACACCCAACACCCAGAATGAAGGTAGGAAAGGTTTATTTAGCTCACTGTTTGTGGAGGTTTCAGTCCCTAATCAGCTGGCACCAAGACAGGGTGGCATGGCACTGGGGCAGCACTTCAAAGTAGCAGTCAGAGCAAAGCGGAAGAAAACAAGCCTCTTCTCCTGGCTTATACTGTACACAGCCCATCCTTTGCACAAGCTGAGGATAATTACAAAGTGAGAAGTTGGTTCCCTGCTGAGTCTCTCAGTTAAACTTCTAAACTGCTCAACCTGACACAATGTATCAACCATAACAAGCCCTCAATGAGAACTGTATAGAAGAGGTGGGTTTTGCCAACATGAGTCATCCCCTAGGCCTTGGGGGAAGGAAAGGGCTGCATTCCACAAGACCAAGGGGTAGCCACAGCCCCTTGAATACAGATTTGGGGGTTTTAGTAGCACGGAGAAGGGTGGCAGTGGCCACTGGGTAGCAGTGTTTGAGTGGGAACTGCCCCGGATGTGCAGGCCGCCAGTTTCCCATCAAGGCTGCCTCAGTTGCAAGGAACAGACGTTTTACTTGGGATGGATCATCAAAATGAGAAACAGAAGCAGAGCAAACAGGAAGAGAGCAGCAGGCCCCACCCAAAGGGGTGAACACTGCAGAGCTGGGGCTGACTTTGGTGCACTGTGGGTCCAGGATGACCCAATCTGATTTTCAAGACTGAATTTTTGTGGGAAATCTCCAAGTTTTTTGGAATGTTGAATCAAAAAAAAATTTTTAAATGATGTGTGTGCTGAATAAAATTCATATGCAGTCCAGGTTCAATTGATGGGCTGTCAGTTGGGAGCCTCTGACAGTTTACAGACTGAACAAAAATGCTGGGGCAGTGATATACAGCTGTAATCCCCACTGCCCAGTTGGCTGAGGCAGGAGGATCACAAGTTTAAGACTAGTCTGGGCAACTTAGAGAAAGCAACAAACCAATGATTGTGAAGTTCACAGATCCATGTGGATTATACTCTGCATTTTGGGCCAGAATCAAGAGGAAGGCATATCTCTGATCACTTACACACACACACACACACACACACACATCCAAGAGGACCACTTTGGGTCTGAATATAGATTTCCTCACATGGCTCCATACACTGGAATCTATGATGTTCTTGTGGACAATCGTCCTTGAATAGTAGGGATCCTTTTCCCTGGACAATTCTAGTTTGGGTAAAGAAATCACTTGGTCAGCCAGGATGTGTCTTCTGCCCTGGAATCCTTGTCAGAAGCGCATAGTCTTTGCCAAAAATGACCATACAGAGAGAGCGAATTTTTGTTCCATATATTTGCAGACAGTATCAGCTAAGAAGCCAGATAGTTCATCCATAACTGTATATTTCCCCCAACTTGGGATTTCCTGTTGCACACTAGATAAAGGAAGGCACTGAGATCAGATAATTTTAGGGCCTGAATCTTCACTCTGCTATTTGCCATCTGTTAACACTGGGTTGCCTCTCTAAGCCTCAGTCTTCTCACCTAGGAAATGGGGATAATAGTGATTTCTTGGAGGCTTTTATGAGGATTAAATGAAAACTATGCACCAGAAGTGACCATAGCCTGGTACTTGGAGTGCAGTGAATTTTAGCTATCTTGATAATCATCACTGTTAGGGTAGAACACTTAGGCCATGACTCTTTCAGTTTAGCTTAGGACCAGCCAGCGTCACGGCAGATGCTTCATGAAGAACCCATCTGATGAAATGACACGAGAAGGGCTGTGGGCATAGCATAGACTGACATCCCGTGGGCCAATGATGCCTACTCACAGCACACAGGGTTCACCAGTCCCAGATGCATGGAGCTGCCTAGGCTCTGGCCTTCCACAGAATCTCAGACAGGTGAACATTTAGCCTCAGAGGCAGAGGCAGGTAATGAGGCTGAGGCTGCTGAGGGGTCTCATGATGGTTCACCTCAGGCATCAGTCTGCCTCGATTAAGAACTGGTAAAGTTTTGTGTCTGGGCATGTGTGAGAGGGATTCCCAGGGAAAGCCAGCACAGGAGGCTCTGGAAAGCATGCGGAAGACCAGCCCACAGTGTGAGCAGACACTATCCAGCCAAAACTGCCCCCCTCCTAGAGCTGTGATCCTCTTCTCCTGCTCTGAGATGCTAGAACTCCAGGGTCTCTGGCCTTTAAATTTTAGGGCTGACACCAGGGGGATGCCAGTTTCTTGAAATGGTCGGACTCAGATGGCAGTTACAACATCAGCTTCCTTGGTGCTAACGATTTCTGAGACTGAAACATGCTGGCTACCTGCAGATGGCCTGACACAGGACTTCTCAGCGTCCACGCCAGCCAGCTCCCCTAATAGACCTCTCATCTGTCAATCTATCATCTATCTATCTATTTATCCTCATCTCTCCATCCATCCTACTGGGTCTGTCGTAGAGAACCCTGACTAATACAGTTCACTTAAGGCTTTAAAAAATACCTGCAGGGTTGGACCAGGGAATTTAGCTCAGCAGCACAAGTGCCTGCCTAGCAAGCATGAGCTCATGAGTTCGATTCCTGAGGGGCTGATCCTGACCTTTAGTGCCTTGGCTCCAGCACCATGCACCGCCCAGGAAGTCCTTCATGGGGGGGCAGCTGGAAGATGAACGGGTGGACGAACACCCTGGGGGAACTCATCAACACCTTGAACGCTGCCTAGGCACATCTTGGGGAACCAGATGAGCCAACTGGACAGAAGGTGACCCACACCCTGGCAGAGAGACTAGAAGTAATCGGTAATTAAATGCATCAGGGAGAAGCTCGAGGTGAGGGAGAGCGGCATTGTGGAGAAGGTTGTTTTTGAGTTACCAAAGTCATCTCAGAAACTATGAGAACTGGAACGAGGGTGTGTTGGCCTAGGACCCTGTGTGGGCCATTGGTACCAACAAGACGGCAACACCAGTGGGCTCAGGAGCCACATAAGAAGCTCTAGGGGTGGCTTAAACCCAACATCTCTGACACAGTGGCTCAGATCATCTCTGGCACAGATCCTTTACAGGCCCGGATCCTTTACAGAAGTTCTGTGACTGGGGCAACATGGGAAGAGACGGCAAGCCACCTGATGTGGCCGGATTCCTGGTGGGCAGTGCTTCCCTCAAACCTGAATGTGTGGACATTATTGGTGCCAACACTAGTACTGTCCATCTCCGCTGCCCTTCCTGCTAAGCCAGGAAACATCTCGGAAGCCCAGTGATGCCCCTTTTCCCACGCTTCTGTCACCTGCTCCTCCAGTGGCCCAATCCAAACTGCGCCTTCCTTGAGTATTTACACCTCCCCGTGATGGTAGGGACCAGGCCAATCTTTTCACCACTTCCTCCCATTAGAGCTGTCAGGTAGCTAGCTTCTCCCTGGCTGAGCAGCAGGAGTGGAAGTTGCTCAAGGTCCCCCGCAGGGCAGTAGACAGAAGTCATCGCCCCATGACACGGTGACAGTCCTCCCTGGAGAGGCAGGGGTGCTCCCCTCCCACAGTGCTGACCCTGTGTGTGCTGGGTCTGTGAGCTGTCCCACATGGAAGGGAAATAAACAGCTGGTCTAAGAGAAAGAAAATACCGGGGACTGTCATCCCAGAGGGTTCCGGCCAGAGGCAAAGAAAGATGAGAAATCTCCACCAGGAGGATGCAGGTGAGCTTAGTTTAGGATGGGATTCCTTGTGGGCTAATCCTTCTCGTGGCCCCTCAATGGTTCCGTGGAAGGGCACTATGTGGCCAGCTGAGGTCCTGGATGTGCAGCAGGCCTCATAGATTACCAGTTCAATACTTTACCTCTTGCCTCGCCTCTTCTGCACCCCAGTTCTGCCTCTAACACCCTGTAAAACATCTGCTACAGCACTTCCTCACGTGGATTCCCTGGCACAGATGTTCTCAGCAAACGTTTTCCATACCAAGGTAGATGTGAGAGGGACTGCGTAAAACAATGTCCCGTAGGCCTGCCTGGCCAACGTGAGGTCCTAAGCTCGATCCCCAGTACAAAAAAAAAAAACCATCAGCTGGTAATGTTTGCTGCAGGACTTTCCAGAACCTCTAATAGGTTCCTGTGACTTACAGTCAAGTTTCTTAACAACAGTTGTCTTTAATTTCTGTGTCTTTGGGCAGCTACCTCCTTGCTTTTCTGAGTTTTCCTCTCCTCCGTGGATGGAGAGGACAAAGTCCCAGCTGTTCCTCACGGTGTCAGGCCCAGAGACAGAGGGGTGACTTCAGCCCTCAAGGGGCTGCAGGTGGGGCTGGACGTCCCTCCAGGGGTGGACCTGGTGGCTTCCTCTCCCTTCAAGCCCATTTGTAGGAAGAAGCAAAATTAGGGGGAAGGGTAAGCACTGATTAGTTGTCAAGGGGGAACGCGGGATCCTTGTGGAAAAGCTGCTGTGGGGTTCTCAGAGGTGGGATGGTGGCATCCGGTACAGCTCCTTTTCTTCCAGAATTTTCCCAAACAGCTTGGCTGCCTCCAGGGCACAGCCCCAGTGAATCGTGAGCCCATAGCCTCCATGGCCGTAGTTGTGGATGACCTGGGAGAGACAAGAGAAAAGGTAACCAGCTCCAAGGGGGTTAGGGTTGGGGCTGGGGATTTAGTTCAGCAGCATAAGCACCTGCCTTGCAAGCAGGCAGTCGTGAGTTCGATCCCTGGTACCGATAAAAAGGAAAAAGACAAAAAAAAAAAAAAAGGCGAACGGGTCAAGGAAGCTTTATGAATTGGAGCTTCTGAAGAACCCTGGGCAAAGTCAGATGCCAAGAGCTGCCCTGGGCAATTTGGTGGAACACTAGACCCTTGGAAATCATTTGCACATCTGGAGGACAACAGCTAGCCTCTCACTTTTGATTGAAGGAGGTCCTGCTTTACACACTCAGTCCGGGGAAAGTGGAATCACATTTAGACCTTAAAGTCAGAGATTTTCCTCACATAGGAAGTTCCCTAAATCGCCATCCTCATTCCCATCTCACTCAGGACTGACGAGCCCTCTCTGATGATAAACGAACCTCTACCCCATCAGGAGAAAGAAAAATCAGGGACTCTGCGTAGTGGTCTCTGGATGATGTGGTAATGGAAGACCTCAGGGCCTTCGTCAGAACCAAACCCATCAGTGAGAAATTAAACTCCGGGTTTGACTCTCCCTCCTACATATGTACCCAAGGAGCTTCACGTGTGCACACACATATGCACACACCTCCATACACACACACACATACACACACACACAATCATGCATTTGAGTAAAAGATGAGAGATAACTTCAGTAGAGAGGTTGCTCTTCTGTTGGACACTCAGCCACCACCTCCTCAGGTCAGACCCCTCAGCCCAGGACAGCCCCCATAGCATCAACAAACCCAGTCCCTACCCTATGAGAAGAGACCCCACAGAGTTGGTGAGGTAGCCACAAAATGGATATTGGGAACTGGCTCTAGAGTCAAATTCAAAGCAAGTCCCAGCCCTGCCTGTCCCCAGTGATCTGACTTAGACAAGTAGTTTCACCTTGCAAAATTCTGGTTTCCTCATGTGAGGCGTGGGGAGAACTGTCCCAGGGAGCTGCAGGGAGGCTCAGTAGGGTGAATCATGACCTAGGTTTACTGCAGGGCATAAGCTTGCTGCATGTCAGACATGAAGTACCCACTTTGATTGTACTCAACTGCAGACTTTGGCAAGCCAAGGCATTGCCCGCTGTATAACCTTGTGCGAATCTTTTACTATCATCCAGCCTCAGTTTCCCTGTTTGTACAGAGAAAGACATTCGCTACCACAGTCCCTGTGGATATTTCCCTGGAAACAGCAGTCACCTTGGGAGTCAGGGAGGGCAGAACTTCTCTTGATGGGAGAGCATACCTCAGTGTTTGCAGATCCAACACGGAGCTGTTCCCTTTCCAGTCGGAGCTGGGGACGTACTGGCCGGAAGCCAGTATATTCACCAACAATTCTTGCATTCTGGAAAGAAAAATGCTGGGCATTTTTAGGTAGTTGCCATTTTTTAGATAGTAGCAAGTTAGCTTTTATATTCTCGTTACCGTCCACACCAACACCATCCGACTCAACCTAATTAATCATCACTACCAGCACCAGCACCACCGGCTACCACATCCATTACCATCGGGACCGGCTCCCTGCATGATTCTGTCAACCACTCCATCTACGTCAGTCACCACCATCACCATCGCCATCAGCTGCTGCCGTGGTATTACCAGGGTCCCCACCTCACCACCATGGTCACTGCCTGCATTTTCACCAATGTTCACATCCACCTCCATCCCCTGCCTCGTCACTGTCACTGTGCTCATCATCACAGTAGGTGAACATGAGAACTCAGGTTTCTGCTACAGTGCATCACCTGCTCGTGAAGACAGAGAAGTTGTTTTGGAGATAACACCTCAGGAGGGGACAATTCTTAGCTATCCCCAGTTAGACCACATTAACCCTTAGAAAAGATTCCCTTGTGCATGGTCCACCCCTAGTAGATTCGGTGGTTCTTGCTGGAATTAATTTGCCCAGTGAGCCCAGTGGTGATATCTTCCCATTCTCCAGGGGTTCATGACCAAGCTGCTGGGTCACTGGTCTGGGGCATTTGTGTCCCCTCCCCCCACCCCACTTACCCTCAATGTGGGCTCAAGGCTGCAGCAGCCTTTCCAAATGGTGTTGTGGTCCTGGGTACTGTTTATCTCATTCCAGTTCCCCAGCTGGAAGATGCCTCCAAGAGTAACTTCCTGAATCCTAGAGAACAAGAACGATGTGCATCACTGTGCTCTCCCTGGCCAACCATTACTACCGTCACCACTAAGTCATTACCGCCGTGGACATTACCATCCTCCTAATAATGCTGTTATGGCCACCTCAGTTGCCAGTGCCATCACCATCAACCCCACTCTCCATGCTGTCCCCACCATCTGTACCATCACCCTCACTGCTAGGGACAGTCACTATTTCCACCTCCATCATCAACATCACCACTGATATTATCCTCTCCGCCACACCGGTGACCTCACCGCTGAGGTGGTCACTGCAGACAGCATTAACACTGCCTCTGAGGTTGTCATCCCTGCCACACTGCTATCACCATTGATAGCGTCATCTCCACCAGTGCCCCCGTCATTCCCACTCCCAATCACAACCACTGACAAGGTTGATCTCCTCACCCCTGCACCCCCATGTCACCTGCATCAGTGTCACCCCTCTGCCATCTTTCTGCCAGTTAACACCCATCAGCGTTGTCTCCCCCATCAAAAGCAACATGACCTACCACCGCCATTCCACTGCCAACAATACTGTCACCCCATGACCACGGCCATTGTCTTCACCCACATCATCTCTGCCAGTACCGTCACCGTCACCTCATCGACCCCAGACTCCACTCCCACTCCGGCTCCCAGTGCTGTCACCGACACCACTTCTGGTGTCTCTGCCACCACCCGGGTCCCAGCCTCACTTCTATTGCTATCCAAAAGAATATTTAAGGCAGACATCGATCAAGGCTGCGTCCTCCCTTCCCAGGGACTTAACTGTCCAAACTCTGGGAGTTACAAGACACTGGGAGAACATAACGGCAGACGCCAAGCAAGTGGGCAGCTGCAGCCTAAAAAAGCACGAAGGCGCTCTCCCTTCTGCCCTAGAGAAATCAGGCTTTTACCCTGGGATGATGTAGGGGGACTTGTAGATGCCACGTTCAGGATCGTGGGTGAGGATGAAGTGCTTTATCCAGGGAGCATTCACCTGTGATTCAGGACAGAGAAGTCTTGTCAGGGTACCTGGATGAATGGGCTGCCCTTGACTTTTCTCCTTCATGGCCAGAAGCTCTAACGAGAGAGGCCAGGCCAATTCCTCAGCCCTCTCACAACCTCTCTGGCCCAAGAGTGCACCTGATCACTTGCCCTGGGCAGAAAGACCCACCTCAGTGAGAGTTACCCCCACTTCCGGAAGTACTGCACATCCTCAGCCCTGTGTCCCTGGGATAGTCTAGGGGGCACGCACAGGTAAATGTACACACCCACTCACGTGCATCAGTACCACACATGCCCACCCACAATCCTATGAATGCACACGTGCAAACTCATCTCTGCACCTGAACACATACATGCCCACAAATAGGCATGATTTACACACTCACACACACACCCACACACAGAGTGAAAGGCAGCATGGGATGATGATCACATCCCCAACTCTTAACGCAGGTTGCCTGGTTTCTAATCCCAGTCCTACTGTGTACTGCCATGTGAATCTGTATGCATTACCAGACTCCTCTGTGCCTTGGATTCTCCCTCTGTACAGTGGTAATGGCGCTATGATAATACACATCTCAAAGCACGGTAGTAAATTAGTTAACATAATCAAGTGCTAAGTCTATGCCTGGCACTTAGTAAGTCCCTAAATGTTTGATATTTATATTTCAACACAGACATATGCAACAGCTCCTACCTAGATACCTGTATAGCCATACATGCTTTGATCTCAAGAAGAAATCTCAGTGGTGGTACAGGCTTGTAATCCCAGTACCCTGGAAGGCTGAGGCAGGAGGATCACAAGTCTGAGCTTACTCTGAGCAATTTAGCAACTTTGAAACATGCTGGGTTCAATGCTGAGTATGCCAAAAAAAGAAAAGGGAGAGAAAAAAAGAAAGGAAGGAAAAGGAGGAGGAAGGGAGAGGACAGAAGTAGGAATAGGAACAAAAACAAATCCCAGAAGAGAAGGCTTGGCAAGGCAGAGCAGGTTGGTTCTTGCTTCTTAATATGTCAACCCCCCAAGTCTGGGGTTACTCTAGAGGTTGTTCCCAATTAGCCCACTGGCTTTGGAGAGAAACCAGCGTGCACACCAGTCTTCCTCCCAACAAAAGCTGGAGATCTCAGCCCGTACTTACCTTAATGATCTGGCCCCGGCCTGGCTGCAGCAGTGGGTCTGGCTGTAGTGCTCCAGCCCACACCCCCGTGCAGTTGATAATCACATCCGCCCCTCCTCTGGCCACCTGGAAGCAACCAACCGGGAAAAGGGTGGGGAGTAATGAGGACCCTGGTGTCGCCTGTCTCCTCTTTTCTCCCTGCTCCTACTCCAGTGGCTATTTGCTATGGAACCATGTCAGGGGGCCCAGTGGGGAAACCGGAAGAGACTGGTTCCAAATCTTGTCTCTCCCAATTCCCAATATGTGACCTTTTACCTCCATGGGACTCAGCTGCCCAATTATAGAAAAAGGCAGGAAATGCTTGATCACAGACTGCTGTGAGGGTCTCAGGCAACTCTGGAGGTAAAAGTGAGAACCAGGCAAGCACTTATGCCACTGAGCCTTCTTCCAAGACATTTGTAGATTTGATGGAAGCCACAGCTCTGCCCATGTCAGGGACACTTATTAATCAATGATGCAATGTGATGAACCCCCACCTAGCTCATCCTGGTCACACTGACTCCCCTCCCAGGTCAGTCAAGGACACACAATTGCAGTGCACTATTGCTGTTCTACAAGCCTGGCGCTTGACTGGTAGACTTGTGTTGGAGTCAGCCATGGGTCTCTAATGTCCAACAGGACCAACCTATCACAGGCAGGTCCTCGATACATAATGCAAGGGTCACATGAGTGCTGGGGGAATGATGTCATACGGTCAAGGTCTGTGTACATAGCCCATTGCTTGCTGGTGGTGGCTGGTTCCATCTTTATTCAAGATGATGGCGTGACTCTGTCCAGTGTCCCAGCTCAGGGCCTGAACTTCAATGTCCGTAGGAAGCATTCATGCATCTGGCTCTTGGGAACAGAGCGCAGCTCTTACTAGAAGGAAGCAGCTGGTTCCATAACCCTGAAGCTCACTGAGGCTCAGATATGAATTAGCCCTTTATTTTATTTTGTATTATTTTATTTATTTATTCTGAGACAGGGTCTTGCTGTGTAGCTCGGGCTGGCCTTGAACTCACTATGGAGCCCAAGATGGCTTTGAACTCGAAGCAATCCTTTTGCCTCTGCCTCCCAAGCACTTGGATTACCAGCGTGCACCACTGCACCCACCTAATTAGCCTTTATGGCCACTGTGGTCTCACCGTCCCTTTGCTCTTGTAACCAACACAAGGCAGACACCACCTCCTTCAGGATGCCTGAGTTGTCCTGGGATTGAGAAAAGGCCAAGGGTCTGGGACAGGGTAGAGAGGATGCTGGGAACCTAAAAAGGGCCGCCAACCAGCAGCAGGACACAGAGACCTCCTCCCAACCACATCCGGCCACTCCCAGCCCTGCAGCTCACCTCCTCCAAAGACTCCACCTTCCGCTGGAAGAATTTCACTCCCCTCTCAGTTAACCTGGGATGAACAGATACATCAAAAACCTCAATCCGGGGGCTGGGGATTTAGCTCAGCGGCGGTACCAATAAAAAGGAAAAAGACCAAAAAAAAAAAACCCTCAATCCAGGTCTTACCTCTTCTCTCCTAAAGTGCCACAGGGAACCTTTGCGTGGACATTGGTTCCACTGAATGCTCCCTGAGAAATGCTCCCTCAGTCGTCCAATGGAATCAAAAGCACCTGGCTGGACTAGTGGCCCACAAAATGTCCTGGGAGAGTCGCGTCCTCTGAGATGGCCCTGCCCCTCATGGGCAAATAGAGAAGGATCTTTCTAAAGGTTATTTAGTGAGGGGTTGACCTTTCAGTGTGCTGTGCTTTGTAATGTCAAAGGGATCAGGCTTGGACGGGAGGAGGGGCAGGGCTGGGCCAATGCCAAATGCTCCTTGGTTGGAAGCAGGGTGTTAGGAGGGAGGTGGACTGGGGACACCCATGCTTCTCCATTTGGGGTTGGGTAGGGTGGGGAACAGGAACTTGCTATGTAGTTCAGGCTAGGCTAGAACTCACTATGTAGTCTAAGTTGACCTCAGACTTGTGGCCATCCCCCCTCAGCTTCCTGAGTGCTGGAATTACTGGAGGCCCTACTATGCCTGGCCCTCATCCTTTCCTTTAAATGTTCACAAAGAAGGCTGGAGATGTGGCCCAGGGGGAGTGCCTGCATAGCATGTACAAGGCCCTGGGTTCAAACTTGAACACTGCAAACAAATGTCCCAAAGGGCAGACAGGCTGGAGATACAGCTCAGTGGCACAAGTGCCTGCTTGGCAAGCACAAAGTCCTGAGTTCTGTTCGGGGCAGGCAGAGGGGACTACCTTCCAATATTAAAAATATATTAAAAACAAGAGGGGTGGGGCGGTGCATATCTGCAATCCCAGCTCTGGGAGGCTGAGGCAGGAGCATAGCAAGTTGAAGGAAAAAAAAAAAAAAAAGAAGGGGGCTGGGAAAGTAGCTCATTGCAAAGGCCCTGTGTTCAATCCTCAGTACTAAAAAATGAATAGAAAGAAAAGAAATGAAGAACAGAATCAGAAAAAACTCAAAAGACTAGAAAGCAAGCTGACATAGGTAAGCTAAAGTATAATGCCTCGTCTAGAAATTTCTTCAAGATAAAAAACAATAATAATTGGTAACATTTTCTCCTAGAATACTCTGGATAAGACCCGTAAGTGTCCCCTACTTATTAGGAGAAATAATCACACCAGTGCAGTGATTTCTAAGCCTCACTGATAATTAGAATCAATCAAGGAACTTCTTAAGTTAAAAAATTCTGAATGATCACCTTCCCAGGAGATTCTAATTCAGTAAGTGTAAAGTGAATCCTGAAATTTACATTTCAAAATGCTAGGATTATTTGCAAAAGATGAAAAATATTTCCAAAAGATGAGAAGTATAAAATAAAAAGCGGCCTTTATTCTGAGAACACGGAGATGACCAGTGTGCCCACCGCTGGCGTCCGGCGATCTCTCCGTGGGATACGTGGCATGGGGGCCTGTAAATAGCCTCGGTTTGGGGTGGAACCTAAGGCGGGCATTAGGGATGCACAGGTAGCCCATTGGTCCTAGGTTTGGTGCCATATGTAAATTTCCAGGGGCGGGAAGATGGCGTCACAGGTAATGTCCTAGGGGCAGGGGAGATGGGGCTTCCTGCTTCCGGTTGAGGTTTTCCTGGCTACAGTGTCCTGTCTGGGCCAAAACCCTTTCACAAAATATGTCCCTCAATCATTTGATAAAAGTCAGCATTTACTCCATACATTAAAAAATATTACTAAAGTAGTAAAATATAGATAATGTTCCTCAATAGACAATCTTCCTCAATATGACTGACTGTATATGACTATGTCAAAACCTCCCTTAAGCTAGTGTTTTCTAATTTGCAACATGATGAAATTTCTATTAATATCAGGAACAAGACAAGGACATCCATTATCACATGCTGAGTTATTGTTCTAGGGATACTGGCCAAAGCAATTAGTGAGAAATAAAGGATGACTATGTTTTGCAAATGATGTAAATAATCCAGAAAATTTAAGAGAACCCATTTAAAACAATTATGCAAACATCAGAAATTTTAATAAGGTTGCTAATAAATGTAACAAGGAGAAAGCTCCTCGTGTGGCTCTAATGTCCAGCCAGGTACAAGAACCTCACTGCACAGGGGAGCTCAGGAGTAAAGAGAGCTCCCATTCCTCACCTAAAAGTTCTCTTCAATCCTAGGGGTTCGGCAAAAAGGACAATCTCTCCCTCTAGCCTGGTCCTTGGGAGATATCGCTCTCAAACTCAACCTTAAAATCTTACCTTTCTGTCAGCCACGCCAGGTAGCTCTTCCCCTCTATAATCAGGCTTGTGTGGAACCAGCCATAGCTAGAGCAGCAGACAAAAGGTAACAATAAATGTTACAATCAGCCGTTTCTGAGGGCTGCCACCTTGGGGAGGAGGGATCAGTACTGTTCTATGTGTCCCCTAAAGCTAGACCAAGAACAGCTGTAGACAGCTAAGTTAGTTATAAATATTATAGGCGTTAGACGGGGCTGGGCCCTCAGCACAGAAGACAGCTGTGGCTGGGGAAAAGAGGAAAGACCATGCCCAAGACAGCCCTTAGGAATGAACAGCAGTGACCGACATTCTAAATATGCATCAGGCACCTTGGGTGGAAAACCAAAACCTCCCCATCCCAGTCCTTCCCAGCAAATTCCAGTTCAGTCCCCATGTGCCTGCTACGTGGCTTGCTTCCCCCGTTTCATCCCCCTTTGATCCATATTATCTAGTCCACTACACTTGCTGTAATCTTACTGGTCCACCACAGCTTCGTCCCACCTCACACCCACTTTGTGGTTTCTCACTGGATCAGTATTACCTAGGTGACCGTACCTGCCATCTTATTACAGGACTACAGTTTTGTCCCACCTTGAATGCTTCTCACCGCGTGGCTTTGCTCAGTAAAACACCCTGGAGAAACGGGGTCAGCAGGCCACCCACTTTCTGGTTCCCCTTCTGTCTGTTTTAGACAGAAGCTGTCTTGCAATAAATTTTTCCTACTCTTCCATCCTCCCCATCCCAAATCAAGAATCAAACTCAGGGGGCTGGGGATTTAGCTCAGCGGCATTAGCACCTGCCTTGCAAGCGTGTGGTTGTGAGTTCGATCCCCAGCACCGATTAAAAAAAGAATCAAACTCAGGGCCTGGTACTTGCTAGGCAGGTGCCGTGCCCCTGAACTATACCCCTGGTCCTCTTTCTATTCTTGACCTCTGTTGTTCCTAAAATTTATTCCTCAATTTTAGAGAACAGAAACATGACATTTCCGACATCTAGCAGGTTGGGAGTTATGATATTTCCCTTACATTATCTGGAGGCCTATATATCATCCCTATGTTGTATGTCCTCTATCAGAACCACTGGGCAGTGCTCATGGTAGGGAGGAGAGCTGTTCTGAGCTCAGTGCAAGTTTTCTGGAACTTTGAAATGCCAATGGCTACTGAACATGGATTTGTAGAGGGGATTCTAACAGGGGTGAAGGGAGGACCAGAGGGGCATCAGGTATAGGGAAAGAAAAGAATTTGGAGTCACATTAAACCGGGTTGGAGTCCTGGCTGTGTGACCTGAAAAAGTCACTTAGCCCTCTGAGCTCAACTTCCCCGTCTACTAAATAAGGTGGTAACATGGGAGCTATGGTTTGAATACTGAATGCCCTCCACAGCTCCATATATAAAGGCTTGATCCTCCAGTGCGCCACATGGGGAGATGGTGGAATCTTAGGAAGTGGGGCCTAGTGGGAGGTCATCAGGCCACAGGGTGGGCTTCCCTCCACAGGGAGTGTGGGAACCTGCCCACCCCTCTCGCTGCTTCCTGGGCTGCAGCCTGAGTGCCCACTTTGCTGCTGCCATGTTGTACCACCCTTGCCAGTGACCCAGACCCGTGGAGACGCTGACTTTGGACGTGAACCTCCACAACGGTGAGCCAACACAAACCTCTCCTTCTTCTTTTTACGTCACAGGTAGCCTGTGTCCAGTATCTTGTTACAGTGACGCAAAACTGACTAATTCGCGGGGCCCGTGGACTTGAGATCTGGGATTTCATTTCCTCTGCCCTCCCAGCCCAAAGCCCATATGGACAGACACCAGAGGACCAGGATTCCGGGACTCTAAGGCTGAACGGGACAGGGATTTTGGGACACCCATTCTCCTCTACCTTCTGGACAGTTCTATCTGAATTGTGGAACTTCAACCTCTTTGTGTGTGACAATAACCTCACCCGTAATCAGGGAACACATCCAGCTCTCTGGGAGTCAACTTCCGAAATCCCAGCACCATGTTTTTCCAGAAAGGGTCCTGAAGGGGAAGAAGAAGAGAGGTACAGGGATGTGTGGCAGTCAGTCTAAAGATAGTAACACAAATATATCCAGTGCTTACGTGTGCAAGGCACTGTCCCATGCATTAACTTACACGCATCTATTGAATTTTTCATTGTAAGCCATTGAGGTAAATACTGTTCTTATCCCCATTTTACAGATGAATCCACTGAGACTTGGAGAGCTGAGATTTGAACCTGCATGATTTGGCTGTAGAGTCCATGTTCGTAACCACTGTACTCAGAGGGAGAGCAAGACAGGGGGTGAAAGATGGGTAAAGTTCAAAGATGGGGAGAACGGGGGCAATGGTACAAGTCACAGAACGGTAAGGTAGGAAGCAGTGGCTAGAGAGGGTCAGACAACCAGTATGCAGACCCCCAGCTCACCACTCACTGCTGTCAACTCTCTGAGACTGCTTAGCTGCACTGAGGAGTTAAAAATCACTCCTGGCCCCATAAAAGGTGACAGCATGGACAACACTCTGGCATAGCAGTGAAGACTGAATAATTGTGCGTGTTGGCACAGGCTGTGGGGCGCTGAGCTAGGCCCTCTTCTCCAGGTGCTGTGAGAACATCTCTTAGGGCGGTGGCTTTTCTTTCGGGCCCCATGCTCTCGGACACTATCTGGATTCAAATTCAAACTTTGTTTTTGTTTTTTTAGACTGAGAATTGAACCCACGGGAGCCCTATCACCAAGCTACATTCTAGCTCTTTTATTTTTTATATTAAAACGGGATCCCACACCGTCACTAAGTTACCCAGACTGGGCTTGAATTTGGCAATCCTTCTGCCTCAGCCTAGAGTGCTGGGGTAACTGGGGTGCATCCTGTACCCAGCTCCTGCACTGCCCCTGTGGCTTTGGGTTATTTCGTTGTTATGAGGCTCTGCTTTCTCATCTGTAAACTGAGGATAAGGATGGCACTTAATTCTTGGTTATTTTAAGAATTAAATGAGTCACTGTTGTATTAGGACAAAGCTTGACACCATTTTTGGTGTCATGATGTGGGGAACGACCCAGATGACTCTCCTTAACTGTCCTTAAAAAGAAAAGCAACTCTCCCCCTTTTGGATACACTTGGCCCTGTCTCCAAGAATTGACATGTACAGAGCTGGCTATGGTATGTCTTTGTCCCTTCAACTGGCTTTAGGCAATGTAAACTGGGCTGGCTGTGGAGCTGATGTGTCATCTCTGAAGCAAAGCGACAGGTCCGTGTTACCCCACCCAGTGACTCCCGAAACACACAGTTGCGCTGGGCAGGATGGAGAGCCATGCTCCACGCTGTCAGCTGAGACTGAGCCTCAAGAAAGAGGCTGCGGCTTCCCAGGGCAAAAAGGCCTGAAGCACCTACCCCAAATTATTAGATACCACCTCAGTCGTGTTATGCAGATTGCTCTCTCTGTATTTCTCGCCCTCTGCTTATCGCAGAGGTGATCTCCGCCGTCCTACCTAGCCCAGCTCACAGCGGTCCTGGCAGTCATGTGTTTCCCGCCACTCTCGCTGTCACTCACCCGCAAGCCACGCCCCTCATGGAGAATTAATAAAACCCTGGCTGGCCCTGGGCCTTGGCCTCTGTTCTGGTGAACACCATCTTGGCTGGATTTAGGACCCCTGGCTCCCCACAACCATATATCTTCCTAGTGTCTTTCTTCTCGCCTTGGGACACACTGGAAGTGTAGATTGAAATGAACTCTCTAGAATTCTAATAACTTCGCCATGGGATTACAGATATAAACCTTCCTGGACTGCAGTGAGAATCAGAAAGGGTTCTCTGTGTCATACTGGGGACACACCCTCAGGTCTCCAGGGATGTGGACAGCTTCTCATGTCCCACAAAGCACTCACCACTACAGAACATGGAGGAGTAGTGCTCATACCAGTCTGAGACTGCTAGCTCTCCCTCCCCTCAGAATAGAGGTTTTCTTGTGTTTGCCAATTTAATAATATATATATGTATGTACAATGTACATATGTATGCATAATATATAGGTGTGTATAACACACATATAAGTGTATGTGTTTTTTTCTATGTATATTTAAAACATGAGGTCCTGCTATGTTACCCAGGCTGGCCTGGAACTCCTGACTTCAAGAGATCCTGCTTCAGTCTCCTGAGTATGTGCATAAGTGTATGTTGTCACATTGAGCTTGTTTTACTTTAAATTCTTGTCATTGAGGCCGAGGACATAGCTCAGTGGCATGGTGCCTGCGTGGCAAGTGCAAAGTCCAGAGTTCAATTCCTGGTACAAAAAAAGAAAAATTCTAGTTGTGCTTTTTAAAAAAAAAAAGTTTTGTACGTTTGCAGTATATAATGACTTCATTCATTGCAGGGAATTGGTACATGTACATAACATATCTTAATTCTTTTTTATTTCCCCTTCATTTCTCCTCTTTTCCTTTTTAGTTAAGCCTTTAAAAATTATTTTTAGTCAAGCAAAGTGGCCTACAACTGAGTAGTAGTCCCCACTACTCAGAAGGCTGAGATGGGAGGATCTCTGAGCCCAAGAGTCTGAGACCAGCCTGGTCAATATAACAGTCCTTGTCCTTGCCTCTCCAAAAATAAAAGGCAATAAAATGAAGTGAGCCTAATTTGGAACCAGGAGTCTGTTGCCTGCAGTACTCAAAGCACCCACCCACTCAGGACCCCGGCCCCACTGTGTGATCCCTCAAGCAAGGACTCTTCACTCACCGGAACAGCTTCACGGAAGAGGTTGTAGCCTGAGACCAGGGCCAGGCCCATTTGCTCAGCGTTGGGAGAATGGATGTGGCTCAGAAGATAGTCGAAGGTCTGCTGGTTCCACTCCCTGAAAGGGTCATCCAGAATCTTGGTCACCTAACAACCTGAGCTAGACAAAAATCTTCATTCAGGTCAGCTGGCACAAGGTCTGACTCGCTAGACCCAGACGTGCACCGTGTTCCCATCTGCAATGCCCCCCGCACCCGCAGAAACATTCACACAGAAGCTTCCCAACATTTCCCCATCCACAGGATGGGGAACAAGGAGGACAAACATGTCTCCTCTCATCCCCTGGTGTGCTTGTCTGATCTGGGCTCCTGAGGTTGATGAATTTTAATGAAGGCTTTGACCCGATTTTAGGGTCTGTGATTCACCTGGTTCAGTATGACTTTTTAAAAATATTTCTTAAAATAGGGATCTTGCTACGTTGCCCATATTGGCCTTGAACTCTAGGCTCAAATACTCTCCTGTCTCAGCCTCCCCAGTAGCTAAGACCATAGGTGTGTGTACCACCCAGTTCATTAATATTTTCTTTGTACTGTGCCCAGGCTTCAACAGGGACTTGTTCTTGGTGAGAAGAACAGTGATGGTGACCGACAGTGCCCTCTCTGCAGTCCCACTCCCCAGAGGCTCCCAGAATACCCTGTGAGCCCTTCACTTACACCTCCTGCGGGTTGTCAGGGCCAGAGAGATAGGGCTGCCAGAGGCCGGCAGCCACGTCGGTGTTGGTGAGTGGGGTGAAGCGGTCTGCGTAGACCCTCAGGTCCAGCTGCTGCAGCACTGAGTGGTAGCGCTCACAGATGCAGAGGGCAGTGGACAGCCCGATGACCCCCGCTCCAATCACCACCACACGCATTGTGTCGCTGTGACAAGGAACGCACGGTTGAGGCACATTGTTATCACCATCACCTCTATCATCGTTGCCAACACTAGCGTGTACTGAAGATTTGGTAAGGGCCAGACACCATGGAGCCTTTGTTACACTTCATAAATAGGACCCACAGCGCCAGGATGTAGTGATCACCCACCTTGCCGTGTTGCACGGGGAAAACATGGAGGTATGGAGTGGCAAAGTTGCTTGCCCAGGGTCACACGGCTGGTAAGCAAGTCTGTCTGGATATTGCATCTCAGGCTGGGACTATAAAAGGGTTAGCAGAGCCCATGGCAAGCTGCATACTGGTGAGCCTAGTGGTTAGGACAATGAATCCTAGCTGCACATCTTAGGTCTCAGTTCTGCCATCCACTGACCACTACCCTTAGACAAGTTACTTCATGAACTTCAACTTCTAGTAACGTATACCTCAGAGGATAGGAGAAAGACTTAACATGTTAGATCAAGGGTCTACTGCAAAAGAAGGAATTCAGTGACTTTAGGGTCCATCTACTACACCCCAGGCTCCGTACTAAGGACTTCATGCTCACCCATTTCATCTAACTCTCAAAATATCCTTCTGAATTACAGGCTGCCATCACTAGTCCCATTTTACAGATGAGAAAACAGAGTCTCAAAGAAGCTTTGTGACTACCCAAGGTCACAGAGGGGTATTGCTGGGAATCGATTGCAATTCCACTGAACTTCACATACTCTTATTCCACACCTACTATGTGCGAGGCTGGTAGTTATTTGATACAGCTGTGAGCACATCAAGTGCAGGGTCTGGCCTCATAACTTGGGTCTTGTAGCACAGAACTCAGCCTGCCTTGGAGTGCTGAGCCCTCAGAAGTTTAGAAGACATAGCAGTGTTTTTATACATTTCTCTTTTATTATATATTATCATATATTAAAATTATTATATATATTATATATTATAATATATATAATAATATATATATTATACTAGCATATTTTCTCTTGGTTAACTTTAAATACACAACCTCCCAATAGCAAATACAGATCCATGTAACGAGAACCACGTCCCTGTTCTTTCACTAGATACATCCTGAAATAGCATCAACAGACTGGAAAGCTGAGGAGGGGCGCTCGTTTAATCTTCCACTGAAACAATTGGAAGCTTTTGTCATTCCCTTTTCTGCAAAATCTTTCTTGGCAAAAGCAGGCTGTTCGAAAGGGAACAATCAAGCCATGCATCTCTCCTAAAATATCAGCACTCTGGTTGCTGAAGGGTGTTATTTTGGGTGTAGAATGCTGTTCAGAAACGGAGTGCTCCTCAGTGCCGTGGTTCTACCCAAAGTAAATCGCTTCCAGGGCGCCTGACAGGGAGCTCCTAAGACCCAGGGTAGCGTCCTACTTGGGGCACTCCAGGCAATGGCAGGCCGAGAAGGTATTCCAGATTCAGAAAGATTTTTGTTCGTCGTTTTGTTTTGTTTTTGTTTTGTACCGAGGATCGAACTCATGACCTCACGCTTGCAGGCAGAAGCTTTTGCCCTTTATTCTTTTTCTTTGTTAGCCTAGAAGCTCCATCCTCCAGGGCCCTCAGAGTTCAGGAAGATGACTGTACCTTTGTTCAGGAAAATGCATGTCCGCCTTGGAGTATTCCCTTCATTTCTCATTTGCCTGAGGGAGGGTCTTCTCACTGGAGACCAGCACGGTCGCATTAACATTATAAATTCCTGGTGGACCATTCTTTTTGGCTTGACAAGTGGAACACAACAGTTCTCAGTTTTCTCACCTACTCTGTAAGGCTACCTCCTGGGATGGCCTCATTCTAGGATCAACAGGAGGAAGCACTGCCCACGGGGCATGTGTGGGGTAGTGGGGTCACACACAAGGGTTCCTGGGTGCTTGATCTCGCTGCCACTGCAGGCCCTAAGGCACCTGAAGGCACTGCCTGGACATGGCTCACCCCACTGTTATGAGGACAGTTGGCACAGTGTCCTTCTCGGCCTTCTGTCCATTGATTTTGACTCCTGCCTTTGAAATACTTTAGAATCCATCATTTTGGTCTCAGCATCCGTATCCTGGGCCACAAGTCTTTTTCTTTCTTCACCTAAGGATTCATCATTTCCCTTTTTTCTCTTTCTGTTTTGGGAACACAGAGCCCCACACACCTGGGGGCATCAGACTGCCCACTCGTCGCCGGCGCTGCTCATTGGTCAACCTCAGCACAGGGTCGCACAAGTTACTGCCAAACGACAAACTGACAGAGCAAGGACAAAGCCAGTGCCCCAGAGGAGAGGTGAGCACTTCAGAGAGAAATAACAGATGGGCCTGCAGTGCTCGCTCTCAGTAAAGCCCGTGGCCAGTATAAACTAGAAAGGCAGCATGGAGGTTTAGCCTGTGCGTGACTTCTTCATGGTGGGGTAGAGTTCAGGAAGAATCCAGTGCAGATCCACCATATTGCCAGAGAGAAGGGAATCAGGTGTTATTTTGGGAAGGGGTTGATTGTTACAGAACAGCTATTCCAGAGTTTCACTCCAGAATAGAAGAAGTATTACCCTAGCACAGAGCCTGGGTGAGAAACAACCATGGGAGACAGAGGGTGAGGGCTCGACGTCCATCTCTTGAGATGCCCTGAGCAGTTCGGATTCTGACAGGCCAGGTTTGGCAGGGGCCGCGTTCAGAGTGGCTGCATCCGAAGGTGATGGTGGTCTGATTGCTTTTCTGTGTACCAACGTGACGGGGGATGCAGCTCACCTTGGACAGTTACCAGGGCCTGAAGTTTACAAAGGAGGACCTCTTGAGCAGGAGGGTCACTCACACACCCACAGGCTACAAAGTGGCATGGGGGGCATTGTGACTTGCTGAATTTTTAAGACTGTGCGTCCTGAAACAAAGAAAATCATTCATTTGGAAATACATAGGAATTTTTGTTCTTGTGACCCATTTTTTTTTTTTTCTCTTCTACATTATATTTGTTTTTGAGGTTTTTTTTGGGGTGGGGGTTGCGGTGGTTTGAGTTTTATTTTCTATTTTATTTTTCTTTTTTACTACCTTTAAAAAAATTTGGCCCTCTTTCTTTTCTTGTCTCACATGCATTTATTCATTCATTTGTTTGCTTTGTTTTGAGATAAGATCTCACTATGTAGTTCAGGCTGGCCTCCAACTCAGGATGATCCTCTTACCTCAGCCGCCCAAATCCTGGATCACAGGTGTGCACCCTCCTGCCTGCCTTCTCACTCTTTTAATTTGTTCTCAGTACTTTTTCTTTCTTTTTTTCACTCTACTCTTCTCCTTTTACTTTCTGTTCCCTTTATTTAATGTTATTAGCTTCCCTTGGCTACTTATTGGGTCCTTTGTTTCACGTGTATCACCGTCTCATCTTCCATCACTTAATTTTCCAGATTCTGCTTTTTTCATGCACCCATTCCTCACAAACCTCTAACCCACACTAATATAACCATTAAGTCGTTATTACTCTATAGAGTCAGATACTCACTACGCTTGTGAGACAGAAAATAGGCCCCTGCGGGTCCCTCTCCTGTCTTTAAGGACTCAACCCCAAACCCTGCCCATCAAATAAAGTCATGCTCTTGCTTTGTTCCATTTTTTAATTCCAAGATCACAGCAGTCTCATCACCTTCCCGTGCCCCTCCCTTTCCCACACCAGCTGCTTCACGACGCCCCTTATTACCGACTCCCCAGTTGGCCAGGGCCAACCAGATGCTCAAAGTTGTAAAACTGTCACCTTTAAGTAACTACTTTTGTTTAGCTCGCCCTTTTCCACCACAAGCTCTATGCAACAACTCCTCAAACCCAAACTTGGGGCTTAGATTTTGGGGTGACGAATTCCTTTGAGCCTGTTAGCATCATAACAGGCTCTACTTCTCTGAGTGCCACTGGGTTTCTGCACCACTGGTAAACCTGGCTTTGCTGTGACACTGTGTAAAATCCAAAATTGCTGTGACAGTCGGACAGTGTTACACTGTTAGTGGAGGTAGAGGTGTTCCATCGAATAAATATTTACTGTAAGTCGTATCTGATTTGTGTTACTGTTTATACTATAATCATAGATCTCTTTTTTATGATTAAGGCTGATACAGTCCTGATTCCTTAGGATTTGTCAATCTATAGTTTGTATTTACTGCTACTATTGTTGCTGATTTTGTTTCTATAGCCATGTTCTCAATCGTTGCTGACATCGATTGATTTTCTTTTCTGTATACCAACATCCGGATTGCTTGCGGGTCAGAAGCAATCCTACAGCCTATTCCCAAAGAACAAGATAAGGGGTCATAGCTGAAACCTCCCTCCCAAAAAACAGAGGCGGTTGGATCCTGGAACTGGGGCAATAGTTAGCCATGCCCCTAGGGTATCTCTGAAAATAGATAGTAACTAAAGAGGTCTCTGTACTAGCAACAAAACAACCCACTATAATCACCCTGCAAACTTCAGCACTGAACACTAACCAAAAAATAGAAACATGAGAAGACAGGGCACAAAATGCTTCCAAAAATTCCCAGCTCCTCCAAAGCCCACCCAGGAGACACCAAGAGAGGAAATCGGAAGGCACACCCCTAGCCAAGTGTCTGAAAGGACATAAAAACCTGTTTACACAGAATTAATATGCAGATAAGCGAAGTATATATAACCCTACATAGGCATGATCAGAAAAAAATCATTCCATGACACCTCGTAGTCCAAATACCAGGAATCCAACACAAGAACAGAATCTTAAAAAGTCGTTAGACAAAGCAATGGGTCACTTATAAAGAAAACTCCATTAGAATTACAGTGGACTTCTCAACACAACCTTACAAGCAAGAAGAGCTTGGAGTGAAGTCTTTCAATCACTAGAAGAAAAACACCTTTCAACCCACTGTAATATATACAGGAAAATTATCCTTCAAAACTCTTAGAGAAATAAGGTATTTTCATAATAAAGAACACCTGGCCAGAAGTGGTGGCCCATGCCTGTAATCCTGGCAATCAGGAGGATAAGGCAGGAGGATTGTTGTGAGTTTG